GGCAACTCAGTCAGTTAAGCTCTCCAAGACTCAGTTTCCCCTGCTGTAAAATGAGCCATAGTGCTGTGAAAATTACAAGCATTCCCATATGCAGGTGTCAAGCCCAGAGAGGGAAGGCACGGTTCAACCTAGGAGAGTTCCCTTTCCCTAAGGTTGGCAGCTAGGGTCACCAACCTTGCTGTCCATGGCTCCTCCTACAAAATCCACTGCAGACTCGGTTTCTCGGCCCCAGCCCGTCCCAGCCTCTGATCCCTGCTCCCCGGCCACTTATCCGAACCAGTTGTAACATAGAGACTGACAGAGTGGCTCAAACAGACCTAGCCTGGAAGTTAGTTAGTTCACCTGTAAAAGGAGTTCATGCTCTGATTGAACGGGACAAGCTTTGCCAAGTTCTTAGCACGGATTCTCAGGATCCTTGCCAGTCCGGGGGCGGAGCCCAGATTTATCTTTGAGCACCGACTCTGCTCAGTTGAAAAGGTCACACAGTGAACCACCAACATCAGAATTTTCCAAAGGATCATCCAGGAAATACTAGTTCTGCAAGATAGTGATGGGTGTTACCTCGAAGGAGGTCGTGTTACCACATGGCTACGGGGAATTACAGGTCCGACAGAGCCAAACGAGTTTGTTAGGGCTTTACGGAGCCTTTACTAGCTAAGAGGTGTTGTAACCTTCTAAGAGGTGACAGTAGTTTATACCATTTTCTGACACGTGGCGGGGGGGACACGTGGCTTTTCATGTCAGGATCCTCCCAGAACTTGCCCCATGCATGTATCTTTTCTTTTGGCTGATTCTTTTATTATTGTTGTTTTTCTAATTAAGTAATCTCTATGCCCAACACGGGGCTCGAACTCACGACCCTGAGATCAAAAGTCACATGCTCCCCAACCGGGCCAGCCAGGCTCCCCTCTTCTGGCTGATTCTGGGTTGTTAACACTTTTCTGAGTTCTAGGAATCATTCTGGTGACTTCTGGAACCTGGGGGGGATGGGTGGGGAACCCCCACATGTGTAGTTGGTTGGTCAAAGTGAGGGTGGCCTTGGGGGTCCGAAGGGAGTTGGGGGCAGTTGTGTGCCCTTAGCCAGTGGAATTTGGCCTAACCCAGGGTGCCTGGTGTCAGAAGTCCTTGCCATTATGCAATGAGAGAAGTTAGACGTAAAATCGTAGATACCATAGTCTTTGGTATGTTTTACAAACCACTACGTAGTGACAGAGAACCAACCGGTCAGTGGCTCTTTAGGACCAGCGTGGAGGAGAGATTCCCAAGGGGCAGGAGGAAATCTGGGGGGTGATGGATAAGCTCACTGTCCTGATTGTGGTGATGGTTTCAAGGGTGTGGATTTGTGTATATGTCAACTTGTACCATTTAAATAGGTGTATCTTATTATACATAAATAATACCTCAATAAAGCTTTTTTTTTTTTTTTTTTTTTTTTTTTTTTAAAGCTCAAGGTCAGGGCATCTGGGTGGCTCAGTCAATTAAGCATCTGCCTTAAGCTCAGGTCATGACCTCGGGGTCCTGGGATCGAGTCCCGCACTGGGCTCCCTGCTCAGCGGGGAGCCTGCTTCTCCCTCTGCCTGCTGCTCCCCCTGTTTGTGCTCGCTCCCTCTCTCTCTCAAATAAACAAATAAAATCTTAAAAAAAAAAAAAAAAGCTCATTGTCGTCCTCACCTGTCACGACCCTTTCAAGAACCTTCCATGGTTTACCAAAGCTTACAGAATCAAGGTCTTCTGTGAGCTGGCCCTAAGCTCTCTCCCCAGGCTTGTCTGTCAGCACCACACCACGCAAACCCCACGCCCCCGCCCCGAACTGTGTTTCTTGCCATTCCCCAAGCAGACTCCACGCTTTTCCCCCCTCGGTAACTCTGTTCATCTGTTCCTGCTGCCTGCAATACCGTTCCCCGAGTGACCACTCTCTCCCCACCTGTTAGCTTGGCTTAAATGTCATCCCCACGAAACCTTCCTTGAATTCCTGAGTCAGGAACGATCTGTCCCTTTCTTCACTCCAGGGATGCTGTTTGCGGGGATTTTCCACAATGTCCTGCTCTGTCTTAGGTATGCGCGTGTCTTTGTACAAAACAAATCTCCCCATTAGATCATTGGCTTCTTGGGGTGGGGGAGGGACTATGCATTTTCTTCATTCTTGAGTTCCCCAGGACAGGGAGTATGATTCTTCACAGAGGACGGTCACATTAACTAAATAGCCCGAACACAGATTTCTCGGTATCCTCCCCCTCAAATCTTTGAGATCCTTAAAATGTCAGGTCCCTTACCTCCTCCTTCTCTCCCACCTCCTGCTCCTTTTTCTCCTCCTTCCTTCCTTCTTCAGGTCAAACCACGTTTACTAACTTCAATCCTTCCCCAAACCAAGTCCTGTTCCCCATCCTTTTGTCTACATTAGAGGAACACACCTGTGTTTGCATTTTGATATTATTGTGGGTTCCGTCTACGTAGCAAGTTCTGCCTCCTGTCCAGTAAATTTCAAGTGCACCTGCCTTCAATCTTAATACTGAATTTCCCTCCTTTTCTCCTCTTCCCTTAGCCACAGAGCATGATGATTAAAGCCTTGGGCTCTGGGGCCACCAGTCTGGATGGGAGTCCCAGCTCTGCCACATGCTGGCTGTTGACCTCCAGCCAGGTCCTGAGCTGTCACTCTGACATCTGTAAATTGGAGGGGGGACATCGGCTGTGTCCTAAGATCGCTTGGGGGACTAAGCGAGCCAGTGCATGTCAAGTATTCGAAAGGTGTCTAGCACACGGTCACCGCTCAGTAGCTACTGCGCATTTCCCTGCATGCTAGAAGCATTCCTGGAAGGAGGGGTGAGACAGACGGGGCTGGAAAGGGTAACTGAGTGGACTATCACTCAGAGAGCGCATTAAAAATACAGATTTCTGGGGTACCTGGGTGGCTCAGTGGGTTAAAGCCTCTGCCTTTGGCTCAGGTCATGATCTCAGGGTCCTGGGATCAGGCTCTGCATCAGGCTCTCTGCTCAGCAGGGAGCCTGCTTCCCCTCTCTCTCTCTGCCTGCCTCTCTGCCTGCTTGTGATCTCTGTCTGTCAAATAAGTAAAATCTTTTAAAAAAAATACAGATTCCTGGGCACCGGCCAGGAGGTTCCTACAGAACCAAGGAGCCTGTCTTTTTGGATCTGCTCCCCAGATGACTCAGGTAGACAGCCGGGCTTTGGAAACTGTGGCATAGAAGAAAAGGATCAAAATTCGGGGTAAGGAGATTAGGGTTCTGGTGGTGTTTCTTGCCAGCGACCCAATGTGTGACTTCTCTGAGACTCTGTCTTCTTTGTAACACACAGATAACAAATTTGGTTGATTCACAGGGCTGTTGTCAGGGGAGTGGAATTACTAAAGCCATTTATGCCTGGGAAGCCGGCTTGCCGTGCAGGGAGGGACACGGACTTTGCAGTGAGGCAGGCCTGGGTGTGAATTCCACTTCTGATAACTGTGCTAGACATTGCTAGTTGACCATCCGACATTCAGCCCCCTCTTCTTCCTCACACAACCCTGATTTTACTCAGAATGTAAATGTGCTGGGCGGAAAATACTCCACCTCCCAGACTCCTTTGCAGTTCTGGGTGGCAGAAATCTGCTGATTTCTGGAAAAGCTTTTGTTTTCCTGATACAGGGGGCTCATTCCTGTTTCTCCCTTTGCCCTCTTCTTCTCGCCTGGAATATGAGATGAGAGGGCTGGCAGTGCGGCAGCCATTCTGTTATTATGAGTGGACAAATACGGGATCTATGAGCTGAAGGTGATGGGAGCAGAGGGATGAAAAGACTACCTCTGTGGCATTGCTGGGCCGCTATGCCAGCTCTGGACTGCCTACCCCTAGACTTCTTATGTGAGACAAACGAATCCCTAGTTATTTAAGGCAGAGGCTAATTTTGTTGTTGTTGTTGGTGGTGGTTTATACCCTAAGTCTTCTCAGGGAAAACTGAAAAAGTTTAAATTTCCTAGAACCACGTCTGACCCAGTGGACATTCATGCATTTGTCTCCTTTCTCCCAGTATGAGACGTTTTCGCATTCGTAAAATGAGACCCTCAGAAATCCAGTATCCTATACTTACCTGATTATAAGGAAGAAGACTTAGTCTCTGGTGCTGGCTTCCAGAATAAAGGGCCCTTTCCTGCAGGGGGTGGGAGGGTGGGAGGGTTTGAGCGGTTACCCCACCGACTGGCTAAGCACCGGCACAAATGTGGACCATCTGTGGCATCCCCAACTCTACAGAGGCTGCTGCACCCCAACCAAGCAGTTGTGAACAATCCCCATGAACTTGTGTGGGGTACAGCGTGCATGGTATGGGCCCCAAGACATGAAACTGCTCTTGCTCGGACCCAAGTATGGGAGACAATTCTAGTGATCGGACCCCCTGGTGACACACGCACATTTGACAGTAAGAATGAAAACGTATTAACTTGAATCCCTGTGCCCCCAACGCAGAGTACATCACCCAGCATTTGCTCTGGTTGGAAACCCAGGTCCCTGGGGGTGAGTGTGGGCATCCGCTTTCCTTTCATTCCCATTCTTACCTGCCCACAGCAGGGCCTCTGTAGGACCCGGCTCGTGCTCTTAGAACCACGGCAATGCACGTGACTCACCAAACAAAGCCCGCTGCCCCCTCTGCCAAAGAGAATCCTGGGGGTCCCCACAGTTCACGCACTCCCACTGTGGCTCAAATCAACAGCACCAAGAGTCAGTACCGTGAAGCTCTTGCAAACCTCACACACCAAAACATGGGGTCTACAAAGGGCGTTTTTTTTTTTTTTTTTTAGCAAATGTATTTTTCTTCCATTCTTTAAAAAAGATTAAACAGCAAAAAATTAAATCTCCTTTTACCTTAAAAGTAAAGAAAATCATGAAACGAGATGATCCCCGGGGTGGGGGGTGGGGTTCTGCACAGACTTGCACTCTCTCTCTCTCCAGACTCCCCCGCAGCCCCCCAGCGGGACGCAGGGCTTGTCCTCAGCGGATGAGCTCTTGTCCAGACCCTTGGGTGCCTTCCCAGGTTGGTACATCTTGACCTTGTCTCCGCCCTTCTATTCTGAGTCCTCCTCCCTCATGGCCTTCACCAGCCAGTCCCGCTCCGTCCCCTGCTCAGAGTCACTCGTGTCGCTGGCCTCCATGACCAGCAGTTTCGAGTAGTTGATTTTCTGCTCCTGGGGCAGTCGGGGCTGAATGGACAGGAACAGGGCCAGCCAGAGTAACAGGACCACGCAGCAGGCCTGATAGAGCACGGCCAGGCTGAAGGACATCACCACGAAGCCCCCCACAACACTGCCCAGGCTGGACCCTCCCCCAGAAATGTGGCCTTGGAACATCGCACCCAGGGGTCTTGCCGTCCCGGGAGTGGCCAGGTCCTCGACGGAGGCCTTCACGGCCCACCACAGGGCCCCGCTGCTGACGGCGTTCAAGATCTGCGCAGGGAGGACCGACCACCAGCTCCAGAGGAAGGAGTAGTAGAGGAGCTGGGCTGCCAGACAGCCCAGCCCCAGCCCCACCGTGCCCACCCTTGACAGCTTCCTAAGCAGTGTCGCTTTGAACGGATGGAGTAGAATCTCCCCCAGCGAGCCCAGGGCCACCGAGAAACCCATCACCAGCTCGCCGCTCCCGTGGTCTTCCATGTGCCAGAATAGAAAGTTCTGCACCGCGCTGGTGGCCGCGCCTACCAGAAACACAGTGAGGGCTAGGACAATGAGCCGCGGGGCGCCGCCCACGAGGGACAGCGTTTTGACGGTCTTGTAGCTGGGCTCCCGCCGCCTGCAGATGGGGACCGGAAAGGAGACGCTCACCAGTAAAGCCAGGGTGCTGACCAGCGAGTAGCCATAGAAATGCAACACACCCCGGGGGCCATTTGTCATCAGGACACATTCCAGTTGCCCCACCAAGGCTGTGACGCCGCACACACCGGCCGACATGCCCAGCGGCCTCCAGATCCAGAGGCTTCTGTAGCGGTCAGTGGCGTCCACAAAATCCAAGTATTCATAAAGGCTGTCGTCGGCCACCTGCTCCAGAGGGGCTGTCAGCAGCTCCCAGAACACCAGGGAGCCCAGGGAGAGGAGGAAAGTCCAGCGCAAGCCTTCCAAGGAGAGGTCAAGGCCCTGGGCACTCCCCTGAGCTGCTGACAAGTTGGCTGGACCACCAGCCAGCAAAGGGAGGACTGTCCTGCCCGCGTTAAAAGCCCCTTCCCCAGGAGTAGCCTTCACCCCTGCAGTGACAGGATGGAGAGGTGGGGACGTGGTCCTGGCGTAGCCAGGTGGCCCGCCAGCCGATTCGTGGACGTTTCCCGCAGGTGCCTTTCTGAAGCCAGCGGGGTCCACTGTCCCGGTGCGGCTCTCGCCTGCGGGGCTGGGCGACCCCGCCGCATGGCTGGAGGCGGGCTGTCGGGCCGAGGTGGCAGTTACAGTTCCTGCGGCCCCAGGCGGCGGAGCGGTGGGGGTGGCCCCGTCGCTGGCGTTAGAGGAGCGGTACCCCGGAACTTCGTGCAGCGGCGGCACGAGGACCATCACCATGCTGGCCCCCACCGAGCCGAGCAGCGAGCCCATCAGAAGCACCCTCCTCTTCTGGTAGATTTTGGCCAGGAAGGCACAGAAGGGACCCCAGAAGGCGGCGATCAGGTGCTTGGTCCCCATCAGGATGCCCACCCAGGGCGCGGCCAAGCCCAGCTGCCTCAGGTAGAGGGTCAGGAACGGAGTCACGCAGGCGTCCCGGACCCCGCACACCAGGTGGAAGAGCTTGGCCACCCCCAGCGCCCTGCTGATGTCCCACTGCGGGTTGGCACTCATGGCGGCCGGGCTCCGTCAGTCCCGGGCGGGCGGGGGGCCGAGCTGGGCGCGGGGCGGCCGCGGAGCCATGGCCCCGGAGAGGGCGCGGGGCGCGGGGAGTCACCTCCGGCCTCGGGCGGCGCCGCGGTCACCGGGTCAACGGCCGACCCCCCACTCCACGCCCCGCCACGTCCGGCGGCCGTCCCGGAAGTGGCCCCGCCCCCGGGACGCCGCACCTGCGGGGCTGGGCCGGCGCACCTGCCGGCCGCACCTGCCGGTCGCGGCGCGAGGGTGGGGCCTGTGGCCTGCAGGGCGCGCTCCCAGCTAACCTGCGTGAGCTCCTGAGCTGCCTCGGGCAACGAAAACTGGGGGGCGGCGCGGGGAGCGGGAGGGGAATTCATGATGGGGGCTCCCTCCCTGTCTTCCTCAGGTCTTGGCGCCCGTCCTCCGTCAAGGACAGCCCTGTAACCTTCAGGGACCCGCCTATCCACCCTCACTGACAGATCCCACCCCCTCCCCTGCACGCATCGCCATCCAGCGCTCCACACGTTTCTGTTTCGCGGGTTTATCTTGTTTCTTGCCTGTCTCCGCCAGGATCCCAACCCCAGGAAGGCGGCCGTCCCAGCCCCTGTAACCCTATGTATGTATTGGATAGTTTGAGTCTACACCTGAGGGTGCCCAGCGGTCCAGTAACGGGCTACACCCTCCATAAGCCACCTCCAGGTAAAGTCACCAGATACGGTGATATCAATCATTTCCGGTTTAAAACCACTCCGACTGACTGGGGACCGTCCCCAATCCCTCTCTCCCTGGGTTCTGTTGGGGGTGCGGGGGCAGGGCTTCAGTGGAGGATCTCAAGTCCATCCACTCCTTGGTCTTCACTCTGTCCAGAGCTGATGTCTACGGAGGGGCGGGCACGATTCTGTACTGGTGCTCCTTGGACCCCTCTGCCTAGATGGCCCCCCCCAGGCACCCCCTCTTACAGGGAGTCTTCCAGACTTGCCCCCACTCACCAGGCAATGAGGTTGAAAGTAAAGCAGCTACATCTGTGCTCTTGGACCCGGGAACCTGAGAAAGGTTCCTCCACACCCTCCACCCACTCCCCCCTGCTACCCTGCTCTCTCCTCTGCTGCCTTCCCTCCTGCCCCCCACCTAGTCCTAAGGGTGAAGATAGTGGTCCTGTGTCCCTGGTCTTCCCTGTTTTACATCTGGATATACGTTTTGGAACTCAGAAGCCAGGAATTTTCACGTCTTTACTATCCGGCCAGGTATTAGGTCAAAGCAAAATCGCTTTAGTGTGCCTTTATTGAATCTGACATTTCCTCTCCTCCAGGAGGGACACCTGCCTGCCCACGCACGTGTGGACAGTGGCTGGAGGGAGGGAAAGGAACAGACTCAGGAGAGAGGAGGTGCCTTTGCCCTCCTTCCCACTTCCCCCCAGGCCACAGGGCCCTGGACGACACAGCAGCTCTCACTTGGGTTTTCAGGGGTGATAGGGGGAGCTTGAGTGGGAGGGGTGGGGCTAAAAATAGATGAAGGCGTGTGGACATTTGTGCACGGAGCTGGGTCTTGCGTGTGCGCAGCTTTGCTGGAGCTGTCCTCGGGCCTGGGTGTGGGCCAAGCTCCCTGAACTCTGGGCACAGCCAGAAGCCACCCAGCGCAGCCTGGCCTCGTCCCAGCTGCTGGTATGAGTGTTTGGAGGCTGATGGGGTAGTGTATCCTTCCTCTTGGTCTGGGGCTCTTGGACTCAGCCCTTCTGCCGCCCTTTCAGGCTCACTGGACGATGCCAGAGAACGTGTTGATGGGCATGAGAAGGGGCTTGGGCTTGGCTCTGGTCCCTTCTGCCTCCGCCGGCTGGTGTGAACCAACCCACGACGCCCTGGACTTGTGAGTCCCGGAACACGGCTCTGGGCAGGGAGCAACTTCGATTCTGCGGGTGGAGAGAGGCGAGCTCAGGAGACCCATCTCTGGGGTCAGATCTGCTGGGGCACAGTGAAGACATTACAGGGTAGATGGGAGGAGGCCTTGCAGAGAGAGAAAGGGGAGATAGGACAAGAGAAGAGCACCCAGGCCAGGAGTAAACACCGGGAGAGGAGGCGTGCCTGCGTGGGCCCCTCTGTGTACCCCGTCTTACCCAAATACTGCACCCCAGGGAGGGGGGACCACTAAGGGTCGCATTAATGGGCACAGCTGCCACAGAAGGTCAGCCTGTGTGAGGGGGTCAGCGCCCAGACAGGGGTTTAAACCTATTGCTGCTAACATTCATCGAGGAAATCTCCAGAACATTAATATCATCGGCTTCCCCATTCATTTGCTTTTCTCCCTGGACTTCCAGGAAGTCGTGGGGCAGTGGCCTCAGTCCACACCACCAGGTGGACCACACCTGCCCCGCCCCAAGGTCTGCCTGCGTCGTAGGCTAGAGGCAGGGGGTGGTAGGAGCTGGCTCCATGGGACACGGAGTGGGGGCGAGGCCCAGCCTCACCTGACCACATCCCTGTACGTTCGCCGACCGTCCTTGTCCAGCAGCAGCGTCAGGAGCCTCTGGTCCTGGCTCTGGATCTGGATGGTGGCCATCCGGAAGGTGTTTGTCACCGTCTACAACCAAGAGCTCATGTGAGTGTCACCTTTGCGACAGACAGCCTTGCCAACTCCTCCTCCTCTCTCAATGTATTTCCGCAGTCCAGCCCACGGGGTCCCCAGCTCTCTTCCTGCAAGTGACCTGGAGCCTCTGGGCTCCCCCTTGGACCTTGGGTCTCTCGTTCCAGCAATTGTTTTCCCAATCTGTTGTCCTAGATCTCAAACGACCGGGAATGCTGGGGCCGGTGCTTGCCAGGTTATCCAGGGGCCCCAGCGCCCCCATATCCCAGGCACATGGGTTGCATGTTCAGTGTTGGGGGCAGGATTTGGGGGGTTCTCTGAGTCCTGACTGCCGTTCTCACAGTGGGATTACACACAAAATTATTTCCCTGGGAAGCGGCCACCTGCCCTCATGACGCAGACCAGACCTGTAGCTCCCTGTATCATGGAATCATCTAGGAGCCAGACACAGGTGGGGCATTCAGGGGGCCTTTCACCCCCCGACATGCAGACAGCGGTTCTGGGTGGTTCATTCCCACAACATTCTGAGCCTTTAGGGTTCATTCTTGTTCAAGAATTCTCAAACCCTGGCTTCTCCTAAGAATCACCTTTCCAAAATATAAAGTTAGAGGTCCTGATTTAAGGGGTCTGGAGTGGAGCCCAGGCAAGGACTTTTCTTTTTTTTTATTTATTTTTTTATTTATTTATTTTTTTAAAGATTTTATTTATTTATTTGACAGGGACAGATCACAAGTAGGCAGAGAGGCAGGCAGAGAGAGAGAGAGAGGGAAGCAGGCTCCTGGCTGAGCAGAGAGCCCGATGCGGGACTCGATCCCAGGACCCTGAGATCATGACCTGAGCCGAAGGCAGCGGCTTAACCCACTGAGCCACCCAGGTGCCCCCTGCTTTTTTTTTTAAAGAAAGATTTATTTATTTGAGAGAGAGAGAGAACAGGGGGAGGGGCAGAGAGAGAGAATCTCAGGCAGACCCCCACCCTCTGCCACTGAGTGTGGAGCTGAAATCAAGAGTCGGACGCTTAACCGACTGAGCCACCCAGATGCCCTACAGATAGCCTGCCTGGGTTGCGATCTCAACTCTGCCACTTACTAGCTGTGTGACTTTGGGCATGTTTCTTAATCTCTGTGCTTTTATTTCCCACCTATTGAGAAAAACAAAAACAAAAACACAGTAGTAATAGCAATTACCTTGTAGGATTATTTTGTGAACATTAAAGGGGAGGAAATACACCGAGTGGCCAGGACACGGTAAGCCCTGTATTTGTTGGCCTGTTGTTACTCTCCTTCTTAACTACAGGTGTGCAAGGAGCCAAGCATGAGTAGCAGCTTTAGTCATCGAAGGGGATGGGGACCCCGCTGTGGATTCTTTCTCTGTTCTCTTAGCCCAAGCCCCCTCCTGCCATAACTCTGTCTAAAGACTCGTTTATGAGCTGGAACAGGTGGGTTGGGAGCAAAGGCAGAAGGACCCAAGCCTCGCTAGACAGAAGGTGACACAAAAGGAGAGAGGACTTCTCCCCTGCTGTTCATCAGGACCAATGGCAGCTTTGGGGCCCTCAGCTATGGTGGGGCAGCTGCGGCCCTGTGGCGGGCAGTGGAACCTAGTGGACACTGACCAGACTGCCAGCTGGATGACTGTGAGCCCGGGGATGTCCAAGACCTTCCAGAAGTACCTGGAGGGACTGCAGGGAGGCTGGGGTCCTGTGCGGGCTGAGGGATGGGAAAGCCAGATGCATTACGATAGCTTGGGGGACCCCACCTGAACTGAGCCCCACTGGTGAGGGACACCCCGGGTTCCCACAGGGACAAGACCGAGGTCTGGAGGGACTGACTGTCATCTTCTAAAGCTTTCAGTAGTAGGTGTGGGACACAGCTCCCAGACTCCCAACGCAGTGCTCCTTCTCTGGGTCAGGCCGCTCTAGGTAACTCCCAGCAGGATCCGGGCTCCCATGACCCAGCCCTCCAGGTAGCCAGAGGCAGTCCGCAGGCCTCCTTCCACCTGTGTGCCGTGCGGACAGATGCCTTCATTTCCCCTTTGTGGCCTGCCTGCTTGAACACATGCAGACCTGCCTGGCTTTGGTCTGTGGGGGACCCCAGGACTCGGATTTCACTCTATAGATGCAGCCCTGGAGGTCAGTTGGAAAGTCCAGGCCAGCCAAATGTGCAAGGGGTCTCCATCTCAGCTCCCAGTTCACTACTGGTGAATAGTGGGCCTACTGGTGAATGGTGTGGGCCCACCTCCCAGGCCCCCAGAGCTCCAATCCCACCGTTCCTGCCTCATCTCCCACTATTTTCCTACACCAACATCACAGTCTGGCCAATATCGTCGCTGCCTCTTAGACACAGCAAGCCAGCCACAGTGAGTGCCCTTGCGCTGCCGGTCTCCTAGCAGAGAATGCCCTTCGCTCTAGCTCGCCAGGAGCCTCCGCTGCTGCTGGACGTTCATCATCCACCCATCGGTGCAGATCCGGCCTGGGATCCAAGAGTGAAGAAGGGCTCCTGGAATTTCCCCCAGGAAGGCGGTGCAGGGTCAAAGGGAACTCGATAGGGCGAGAAGTTTAGATTGTTTAGAGAGGTCATTCGAAACAGAAACTGTCGCAGGGAACTGACCTGCAAAGAGGAAATGCAGGAGGGTAAAGGGGTCCACCTTGGAGTCTGAGGCTGTGCAGGAGGAAGGCAGGTTTCAGCTCCAGCCAATCGGAGCTCCCCTGCAGCAGAGGGGGCTGTCTCAGAAGCACTTGGGTCGGGGCTGAAGTCCCAGAGGGGGCGGGGGCAGGGACAGGCTAGAGGCTTCAGCAAACATCTGGGAGCACCAGCTGTGGGCAAGACGGCACGCTGAGTGCTCCGAGTGCTGGGGAGAATGGGGAGGACCCGGAGGACGAGGGCCGAGTCCAAGGCACTCGCAGTCCATTGCCATACGGGGATCGTGCCAATTAATGGTGTTTCGCCTGCTCCCCTGGCTGGGTCCCCAGGGCTGTAACCCTAGCTTACCCAGCAGTGCGGTGGGGGGCGGGGCAGGGTGTGGAGGGAAGGGGGAAGAGCATCTAGGAGGGCCTCCTGGGGGAGACAACACCAGAGTTGCAATTTGAAGGAGCTTCGAAAAGAAGATGGGGAAGAGGAAGTTGGGACCGGGTTTCAGACCACGTACAACACCTGAACAAAGGCACGGATGTGTGTCTTTGAGAACACTTCCACATGCTAGGGGTAAAGGGCCTGCAGATGCCGGCTGGGGTTGTGGATGGAGTGGAAGAGAAGCGACACCATGCCACAATGAAATTTCTCTGCCCTGGGAAGTGACAGAGGGGTTTTAAGCACGGACAGGTACATCCAAGTTTTATTTTAGAAAGAACACTCAGGCAGAGAGATGTGGAGGGGGGACCTAAGGGGCACTGCAGTGACATCAGGGGAACAGCTAGGAGGCCATGGTGTGTGTCCAGGAAAAGGGGACGGTGTAGGTCTGGACCTAGGGTGACCAACCTGTCCTGTTTGCCTGGGACTGTCCGGGCTTTAGCGCAGAATGTCGCACACCCCAGGAAGCAGTCCTCAGTCCTGGGCAAAAGGGTGGTTTGACAACCTAGGTGGCTCAGGAGGGGGCTGGGGGAAGGGAGAGGTTCGAGAAGTGCTGAGAGAGAAAACCAGCAGAAAACAGGGAAGGGAGGAAGAGGAGGTCTCCGAGGGGACTCCCAGAACTCTGGCAGAGATGACTGGGTACTGATGGTACCATAGAGAGGTCAGCCACGGCGGTGGGCGGCGGGGGGGTGAGGGGAGGAGATGAATTAAAGATGACTGTTAGCACATACTTTTAGCACATACTTGGCCACGCACTCTTCTGAGAGCTTTGCATGGGCCCATCGTTTTGCTCCCCACAACAACTGGGTAAAGTCAGAGCTATTACTATCATCCCCATTTACAGGTGGTGAGACTGAGGCACAGGCAGGTTGATTACCTCGCCTGAAGTCACACAGCTGGTAAATGGCAGAGCCGAGCTCTGAACCCAGGCCGTCGCTGGGCTTTGGTTTCGCAGGTCTTGAGTTTGGGGTGTTGTGGGGCGTCTGGTTCATGCGGAGTTGAATGCAGAGTCAGAAACTCAGGGGGGGCAACTGTCCAAGCAGGGGATAGAGATTTGGGTGTCCTGAACACATCGGACTCAAACCACGTATGTGGGTTCTGGAGTCCAGGAAATGAGAGAAGTGAGCCAAAAGTTGATAACAGTAGCTATTTAAGGAGCTATTTAAGGAACCTGTTTAGGAAAGAGTCCAGGGAAAGGGGCCAAAAAGTCACAATGAATTGTATCCATTATGTCTCCACTGTATCCATTATGTAGAACTTTGAGAAAAAGAGGAAAGAGGAAGGAAATAATTTTTAAAACACTAGAAAACATGTTAGAAACAAAAGATGGGAGTCTCCAGACTGATGATGTCCTTTAAAGATCTATGATAATGAATGAGAAAGATTCCACCAAGGCTATTCCAGAACCTTCTATGAGGTGAAACGTCAGAAGCTTCTAGAAAGGGAGAGAAAGGAACAGTCTTCTACAAAGACTGGGCAGAAGAAGGCATCCTGTATCCCAGCAGCAGTGTCAGAAACTAGAACATTGTGTTTGAACCAACTGAGATCGAATTGATAAAATCGAAGCCATACCGGGAATACGGACAAAGCTTTCTTAGTTTGGAAAGATGACGTAGACCAACACTTCTACGCTGCAGATTAGAGTAATGATGTGTTTCACCTAGTAATTAAGTACCTTACTTTGTATTCTGTAGACAGAAAACACACATGTCCTCCTTAGTTATTGCAGGCTATTGAAAAATCAATCCTATATGATGCAGTGAAGAAAAAGCCATATAAGTTCTCAAGTTGAGGTCGCGTGGGTCAGATGCTCTGGTTGTCCCAAGGGCATTTGGTGATGACTGGAATCAAGGGGCTTGGGTTTCAACAGTCATGGGGACCTGGGGACAGGCCCAAGGGACTGGAAACTGAGATCCCCTTCAATGACTCTTAAAGTCTATGCTATCATCGAAAGAAAACCAGCACCTGTGTTATGGGGTGAGGAGGATGAGTCTCCCCTGGGAATTCCAAGCCACAGTCTACCCTTCAGTGGGTCTGGGCTATACGTGTTCACTGTCTGCCTGGTCTGGGAATTTCTGAGCTAGAAATTCACTCGAAATATGGTCCTGGGCTGATAATAGCCCAGAAGCAGAATTTCTCTAGAGGGTCAAGTTTTCGACCCTGGTTTCCCACAGATAAAACCCCAACAGGCAGGAGCTCCCAGCTGAGGAGACCTACAAGGAAGGAAGCACCCGTGTGTCTGTAGCTATCCATCATGCACAGATATACAAAAGGAGGCTGGATGTTTGCTCTTGGAATAGTAACACGCATCTTCTCTAGAAAATAGGACTCAAAGAGGTTTTACTTGTGTTTTGTTTTGTTTTGCACTTCCTGCATATCACTAAACTTTTTTTTTATAGGTTAAAGGGAAGGGAAGGAGTATACTAGTTGCTAGAGAGGTAAGTGGGTCATGGTAGAGATTTTCCTTCCAGGATGGAGAAGACCCGAGCACATTTCCAGGTTATGAGGGAGGAGCGGCAGAGAGGGTCCGCGCTGGAGAAAAGGAACCGGAAGAGATGCGAGAGGCTCAAGCGATGCGAAGGGTCCTGCTGAGGTGGGAGGTCAGGTGTTTGCTCCGTGGATGTGGGATTTATTCTAGAAGCACGCAGAGCATACAGACTGAGTAGGTGGCTTGATCCCAAGTGTCTCCCTGGTAGGTGGTGTGGGGGGAGGGGTGGGAGTCTGGAACAGGGTTCAGGTGTAATCATGGGACTCACATCCCAGCCGAGTAGGGAAGTGAAGTCCAGAGTGGCCAACAGATACAGAGCATATGGGCAGGTCCTAGGTCTGTACCAGTAAGGGAATTGCAATCAGTAAGTATCAATAAGGGCCAAGGGCAGCGAGGTTAGAACTGGTTCGATGTGGTCCGAGGTTTGCTGCACAGGAGTCTGAATGCTGGTCATGCGGGGGCAGCCAGAACGTGCCTGGAGTTTCTATTTTTCAGGCATGTTCTAGGTCCTTGGAGGCCCAGCAGGTGGAAAGCAAGACCCTAACTCTGCCTTACTCATGCTCAGGACTTCTCAGGTTGGGGAAAGGCAGATTCTTTCCGATAGGAAGATGTGCTTCGATGGCCAAGGCTCAGAAGTGATTTCCCCTTCTCAGAACACCCCAGGCTCCCAGCCACCGTCCCTGAGTACCTCAATGGGCCCCGTACTTACAGAGAAGGACCTGCCCGCCAAGTTGGAGGACTTGACTACCTCCGTCACGCTGACATTCAGGCACGTGTGGTCTGTGATGGGAGCAGCAGAATGTGCGGCCTGGGGGGGTCCCGAACCTGGGAGGAATGAGGTGGGATGTGACCTTGACGGGGGTCATTTTTCTGGCTTCATTACCTCTCCAGTAAAAAGCTGCTAACAGCAATGATGCCTAACTCCTAGGACTCAAAGAGTTGAGGTGTTGGCTTTGAACCTGGTCTGGCCTCCAATGAAGGTGTTTGGTGACGTCAATCCACCTAACAAAACTTTTCATCATTCCAGAAGACCGGGGAGCTAACGAGAGAGCTCATATGTTAATTTACGATATGCACCTAAATCAGAATCTTTTATCGTCCCCATTTTAGACTTAGGTAGTTAGGTAATTAGACCGACTCTCTGATTATCCACTGTATAGCTCTAATCAGGTCATTGGCCAGAATTACATAACTGGGACCAGCGGTGCCTTCTGTGAACTGGAGAGTTCCTGTCCCGTGGAACGACATTCGCAATACAACATCTCCAGACCCAGCACAGCTAGATCTGGGGCCCAGCGCAGAGGAAGGTGGATAAATGCACCTGCCTCCCCGTGGTCTCTCCAACCTCTAGCGGGTGTCTCATCAGGCTACAGGGCGTAGCCAGAAGCCACGGCTACGGTATGTTACCCGCTGGTGACGAGCCTGATGGTGGCTCCCGAGCCTCGCCCAGGTACCTGCTGGGCAGCCCTGGGCCCAGCACCGGAGTGACTCAACCTGACTCTAGGATCTCAGGAACAGGTGGAGGCCCAACTCTCCTGGCTCTCCCCGTCTACAGTCACTCGACTGTCAGTCTCCTTCTCCCCCATCCACCCTGCTTGTCGTGCCTTCTCTGCCTCTCTCTGCTGTCCCCGCTTCTCACCATCAGTGTCACTGGTTGGAAGGGCCTTCAGGACCAGCCCAGTGGCCCGCAGGGAACCGGTGACCACTTGGGCGCGGTGGCTGAGCAGAGCCTGGGGAGGGGGGAGGCAGAAACAGACGGGGTCCTCAGAAGAGCCCTATCCCTGGGCATCCTCGTGTCGACAGTCCTGCTTCCCGCCCCGGCCCTGACTGAGATTCTTGTCTGTGTCACTCGTGTCACCAACAAGGGGCTGGAGGAGAAAGGCTTAGAGCACTCTTGGCCACGGACAGCACATTCAGCCTCCCAGACCCAAGGGAATATGTCTCTGTTGACATCAGTTCAAGCGTCTGGTTGGCCAGGGAGGAAGGGATTTTTGAGCGATGGGACAGCCCCCCGTTCCTGAAATCAGATGGCCTCCTGGGCTGCATGCGAGGTCGACTGTAATCTGCCCATCCCAGCAAAACTCTCCAAAGGCTGGGAGAAGCCTGGGGGAAGCTTCAAGAAAAGGGGCTGAAAGTTCTTCTGGCTCTGTCTGCTCCCATTTGCACGTCTGACACCTGCTTCGACCCTGCCGTCCCCCCTCCCGCCCCCCTTCCTCTGAGCACGCCCACGGCCACGCACCTTCTGGTAGCAGATGGACAGCTCGGCCCCCGGGCCTTCAGCCGCGCCCTTCCTCCTGGGGGAAAAGCCATCTGAGGGACAGGGGAGAAGAGGCTGAGGGTGGGGGGTTCCCGCCCCTCCTGCCCCTCCCGCCCCGCTGTCCACCTCACTGGGGGCGAGCTGTGCTCCTGAATCTTGACAGCCTCTCCCCCTGCATGGAAGGAAGCACCAGTCCAGGCAGGCTTGGCTGAGCCAAGGGCATCCGGTATTCAGCGGAGGTGAGAGGCGGGAGGACTTTCTGGAAACGGGCTCGAGGGGGAGCTGAGGCCACTCCCGTGGGAGGGGGGGATGGACGCTCACCTTTGGGGAGTCTGGAGTCTTGGACGTCCACCTTCAGCTCGGTGAGGAAAATGTCCTCTGCAGGGCCTTGGCTCAGGTCCCTGAATATCTGGAGGGAAGTAGGGGGGCGGGAGGAGGTTGTGAGGAGGCCAGCTTTGCCGTGAGCTGCTCCCCCAGAGCCTGGGTGGCCCACCATCCTACTAATGCTAGATTCTGAGCCACATTCAGTGACTTCCTGCACCTGTGGTCCACATGTCTCCAGCCACGTAATGACTTGATAAATTGGGGAAGAAGCTGGTCTCAAAACCCCCTGTACCCACTACCATCTAATGGGTGGGGGGGAGGGGGGCTCGGAATTCACGCGGGGTGGGGCTGTGTCTGGTGAGGGCCAGAGAGGGGAACCACATTCCTGACTTGGCATTGCAAGGCAGGCTGGGAAAGAAGGGCTAGAGGGAGCTGAGCCACTACGGGCAGTTGGGGGCAGAAATCTGGGGCAGGAGGGGCCTCTGAGGGGAGCTGGGTAGTGCAGTGGGGAAGCGTGGCCACGGGAGGGGGGCTGGGGCACAGTCCCGCTTTGGGGGCACCTCCCTCAAATCACCTAACTCGAGCCCCAAGCCACACGATTAAGTTCCTTCTAGCGGTCTCTGCCCGTGGCTGCCCGCGCCCATAAACCCAGATCCGTGAGGGGGGGCAGGTACGCTCCTGGGGCCTCCGGCTGAAGGCCTTGACTGTGGACGGACGCCTAACCTTTCCTTTGTGGTGCCAAAATGTTTACTCCCTTTACCTGCACTGTGAGAGGTTTCTCCCATTCATTCCACTTTGTGTTGTATTGTCTTTTGGAAACCCAAGAAAGGGCCTACATCCCTCACTGAGGTCAAAAAGAGGGGAAAGACCCACCGTGGGATGCCCAGGGAAGGAGAATCCAGAAGGAGACAGGAATGGCAGAGGCGGCCCCCAGAAACCTCCGGGGAACGGAACGGGGCGGTGCGGGGCCTCCCCCAGAATATGGGAGTGGAGACTCACGGAAACAGACAATGGACTTGCACTAGCAGGGGGGCCCCTGCAGAAGCCCAGGACACGTGCCTGCGGACATCAGCTCTGCCACAGACGTTTGCGGGGGTGATGCAGGCCGGGTCTTTGGGTGAACGGGACATAAGGGACCAACACCTGGTCGGGGAGGAGTCTCAAGAGTCCCTTTTGTTGCAACCTTACTCTGCACTGGACACCCTGAGAAAGGCCCTTGACCTATGTGACCTCCTTTAACCCCCAGCAGCCCCAGGGGGTAGGTCTCAATGACCCCCTTTTAGGACACCGGACACCGAGGCTCAGAGATGTGTGCTGACGGGCCCGACGTCACAGGCGGCAAAGCTGGGCTGTCATTCAACATCTCAGCCGCTGCTCTGGAATCCTCCACGTGCCCTCCTCCTTGCCCTGCCCCTCCCCCCCACGCTTTACCATATTTGAAGCCTCACAACACCCCTAAGGCTGGTGAAATTCATCGTGCCTCCTTGATAGGCGGACAGAATGAATTTTAGAGAAGTTGAGGTGCCCATGACCACAGAGCAAGCAAGTGGAGGGACCAGCAAGGCTGTGGACTCTCTGCCACCCCACCGGGCCTCTGACCCCACACCCGGGTCCCCCGCCGGCCTTCCGGTGCCACACGGATCCACAGTCGTCACGCACATGCACACACGCACACACACGCCCATACATACACCATTTATTGTGTTAGTGGTAGGAGACTCAACACTCAGATTCAAGGGGCCCCTGGCTGGCTCGCTGGGTAGAGTGTACAGCTCTCGATCTCAGGATTGTGGGTTCAAGCCCCATGCTGGGTGCAGAGATTATTTAAAGATAAAACTTCTAAAAAATGAGATTCACACAAAATGCGGACCCATCTTTCCAAGGACGCACAGTTTTGGTGGGGATCAATGCACAGAGCAGGCATGTGACCGAGCCGGAGGGAAAAGCAAGGGCTGTCCCCACAGCGCTGTGGACACGGGAGAAGCACCTGAGCCTGCTTGGGGGGCAAGAGGAGCAGAGGTGAGGGCTGGCGAGGATGCGGGGGGGACGAGGTAGGGTCGAGAAGGGCAGTCCAGGGTAGGGCATGGCGTGGGCAAAGCCATGGAGGCAGGAGCATCGGGGCGTGTATGGAAAGCAAAGACAGAAAGAAGGGGCTGCTGGGCAAGGAAGCCTCCCTGTAGGTTGCAGAGGAGGAGAAGCAGGAGAGAAGGTTCCAGAAGTCAGGCGAGGGGCGGGCTTCATGAGGGGGGAGATGTGTGCCTTCATTTTGCAATTGTGATGCACACATGGATATCATACATGTAATTGTATAGTAAAGGAAAAAAGTATCGTGGCCCACGGTGCCAAATGCAGAAAAGGGTCCAAAAGAGAGAACAGGAGAGCGTCCTTCGGGCCTGGCGTCTGGAGGTCACTGGCAAGAACAGTGTCAGAAGAGCCAGAATGCCTGGTTGGAGGACAGAGTGGGACAGAAAATACGGAGATGGTGGTCAGGCCATCTAGCCCCACAGCGCTGGCTTCAGGAGGGACGGACGTGTGACTCACCTCCTGGGCCACAGTGACAGGCATACAGATAGGCACTAGCCTTGATCCCACTGGAAAAGGGACACCCTCTCCCCACTGGGGTTGCTGAGTTTGAAAAAAATGCTGGCCCAGGATGGCTGCGGGTCATCTGGTCGCCAGGAAGGGAGACGAAAGAGACAGGTGCGGTACCCATCATACCCAGCTTTGCCAAAGCCGGTCAACTCTGCCCTTGCTGGCGAGGTGAGCCGATACAGCTCTTCTCCCGACGCTGGTTTTTATATGTCTGTTACTTGCAACTGCGGGTCTTCCCCAACACAAAACAGGTGCCAGGAGGAGTGGAGGGCAGTGAGCATCCTTCCACCCCATGGGGACTGGGAGGCCTCCCTGCTGGAGCCCCGTGCTCAGACCCCATGTCTACGGAGGTGGAAGCATCAGGGAGTAGAGATGCAGGGGTGTGTCAGGGAGGGACACTAAGAAAGCAACAACTGTCAGCAGACACTGGTCGAACTTGGCACAGAGGACAGAAACACTGCTCTTCCAAGAGGGCCCCTTTCTGGCTGGATCAGCCTACAAGAGCTAGACAGCCTTGGGAACCAGAGGGTTTAAAATTTTGACTTCCCTGCTGCCATTTGAGCCTGGGAGCTTGAAGACAAGGTGGGAGTTAAGCTCAAGACAAAGTCTGGGAAGAGTCAGATTCTTCATCTCTCCCTCCCAGGCCCTGTCACTGGGCCACACATTTAGCACGGAAAAGAATAGAAACCTTGCAGGCTAAGGAGGCAGGTTCTGGGGGAGAAGATGTGAGGGTCTTGCCAGGACGAGAATCTGTGATCAGAGACTGGAAAGTGAGCATCTAGGATTTCCGAGGTAAAGCAATTCCTGGTAATTACTTTCCCAGTTGCCTGTCCCCAGTCCACCACAGGGTCAGGGCCTAAGGCATCCCTCCTCGTGAGCAAGTTCTTCTGCTTGTGCTGGAGGTCTTTGAGGCTGGGAATTATCTGATGTATTCAAAGATTGGGAAGCTACAGTTAACAACCAAGACCAGTGAGTCTGTGATTCGTGCCCTGGTACCTGCATTTCCCCAGAGCCAGGGTGTTTGGGGGTGGCATCCCAGGGTCCTGCTGGTGTGCTACCCATGGAGTCCCAGGGTTGGGAATACTGACCTTGACAGTGTAGATCTGGAAGTAGATGGGTTGGGTGCCCATGCGAACATAGTAGGTGATGACATCCAGGATGAAGGGGTCCACAGTCCGGGATGTGTCCAGGGAAGGGGGCTGTGAGGGGGCAGAGAAGGTCTTCAGTTATGGGGGCTCCATGCAGTTGTGGGGGCTGCTATTCTGGTAACAGAGAAACTCTAATGGTCCCACATATCCTCTGTTGGGCACTAATCCAGCTGGGCACTCAAACACACTCCAGCCCTTTCCTTCCCCCTGATTTCCACTCCTAACCCAGGCAGTCCGTCCTCGATTCATTCCACTTGCACAAAGACACTTGGGGTGCCTCTAGGTCGAAGGCACTGAGTAGGGTGCTTGGGATAGACAAGATGCCTGAGATTACAGCCAACGATCACTGAGTCTGGGCTGGGTTCCAGCCACTCACTGGTCAAGTGACCTGCGGCTTGAGAAGTGAGGGGATCTGCTGTCTCTTTCACTCTTGGGGTATCTCCATATATCAACAGATTAATTTACATGTGTGGGCTATCGGAAAAACACTAGTGTCATGTCCTACACACCTTCCTCCTATGGTTATAAAGCAGAACCATCAGATTTTTTTTCCTTTTAGATAAACAGAATGCTTACATAGTACCAGAATTGGAAAGCAGCTAAAGTTGATCTCATCCAACCCATATCTGATCCTATAACTCTCTATAGACCAGACTCTCCCGTCTGGTCTATAGAAACACTGCTCCCTTCAGAAAGGCCACATGGAGGAACAGAGAATGTACTCCAACAAGGCTGTCCTCACCTACACTGTTTCCAATCTCTTCACATGGAAACCGCTTTGGGAGGAAACACTGGGGCTGTACAAATCGTTAACTCTGAGGGCAAGGAGAGCAGGGAGGGCCCAAATCCCACATATGTCCCAGCATGAAAATAAAAACTAACTGACAAAAGAGCATAAGTAAGGGGCACCTGGGTGGCTCAGTGGGTTAAAGCCTCCGCCTTCGGCTCAGGTCATGATCTCAGGGTCCTGGGATCGAGCCCCGCATCGGGCTCTCTGCTCAGCGGGGAGCCTGCTTCCCCTCCCCGCCGCCTGCCTCTCTACCTACTTGTGCTCTCTCTCTCTGTCAAATAAATAAAATCTTCAAAAAAAAAAAAAAAAGGGAGAGAGAGAGAGAGCACAAGTAAGATCTTCCTCCTCTAACAGCCTCCAGGTTTTGAGGAAAAAGTATTTCAATACCCAGCTAAAGAGTCTCCTGTGCATACACAAAGACATTTTTTTGGGTAAGCGGTAACTCAGGGAGGAGGCCTCCCCCGACACCTCCACAAGAAGGTACAAGAAAAACACCCCAATCAAGTAGACTGTCAAGTCAGAAATCAGGTACCTAAAATCAAGGTGCATAACCCCCTAAAAGAGGCTGACTCGCCTCCAAATTCCAATCGAAATCCTGAGGGGGGGGGATTAAAAAAAAAACAACTTGACCACATTTCTAATATTTATCTGGAAACAAACAGAAACAAACACAGTCTGAAAGGTTTCCAAGAAGAAGAGTAAGGGGATAGGCTTGCCCTGCCAGCTCTTAAATTAAAAAATGCTAACGTGGCCGGAAATGAATGGATTGACAAGAAAGAGTAAGTGTCCCAGAATAAACTCAAGCATCTGTAGAAACTTAGCAGATGATAAAACTGGCATTTCAGACTGATGGGGCAAGATGGCTCATGCAATAAATAGCTTTAGGACAACGGGCTGAGCATTTGGAAAAAAGCAATTTGCGTGCCTCACACTCAGCCCTGAAATCGATCGCAGGCAGGTTATTTAAATGGAGAAACCGAGACCTGAAAAGTCCCGGGAAATGATGAGTGAATATTAATTTAATCTTGGATATAATTCAGTCTGTGGAGAAGACCTCTTGAAGCAGGACTCCGGTATCACAAAGAATAAAGTCCTGTGTGTAACTGCATAGAAATATCAAACTTCTGTAAGTCAAAAAACCGCTACTGAGGAACTTGACAAGCAAGTAAACAAAAGTGGGAAAAAATGTCTGCAACCCCAAAAAGGTTAAAAGTCTCTTAATAGGAGTGGTGCCTGCCCGGCTGGCTCAGTCAGTGGAACTAAAAGACTCTTAATCTCAGGGTCGCGAGTTTGAGCCCCACATGGAGGTAGAGTTTACTGGAAAGATATAAAAAAGATTCTCCTAATAGATGAAGGCCTTTTCAAGTCAGTAAAAGGTGGGAGCTCCCTCCCTACCGCCCCGCCCAGGAAGGTTGGGGGTATAGCCTGGTTTTGTGGTCAAGAGGATATGCTCTGGTTCCAAGCAGGACTCTACCTCTCATCTCGCCACTTCGGACAAAGTTACCTAATTTCTTTGCACCCCGGCGGCTTGATCTGTACAATGGGGACATGGCAACGTTAGCACCCACCCGTAAGAGTGCCTGTACTTGGTAGGGCTGCTGAGTGTTGAGCCCGTGGGAGCTCTCAGGAAGCACGGGCTCTTACAATCACAGAGACTGTCCCAGGAACCCCAGAAGAGAAGGAACGAATCGGCCTATACACTTACGGGAGAATGTTCTGCTTCATATTTTCCCCAGTGTCCCCCCACCCCCAAACAGGTGCCTGCTAAGAGCTCCAGCATGAGCTGGTTAGGGCTCCTCTCTTGTGCTCCCTTCCAGCCTCATCCCACCCTGGGGGACCCTGGGGCTGACTCTTGAGGCTGAGAGCCAGGGGTGGTATCTGAAAATGGGCCCCTCCCACCTCCCCCCTACCCTCGCATCTCCCCTACCATCTCTGCCAGCTTGTGGATGGCCGGGCAGAGTGTGTTGACTGTGTTCTGGTACCACGGGTCTGCGCGGCCCAGGAACGCCGCCAGCTCTCGGAGCTCCGAATGTCTGCTTGTCGCCGGCTCCTGGGGACAGGGGGACAGGGCAGACCCATCAGCCCAGTCTCTTGGGACTTTCTTCCCGGCCAGAGGGTCCCCTAGGCAAACTGGTCAATCACTGAACCTCTTGGTTCTCTCTCAGTTTCTCTGCCATGTGAAGACGATTGGGTTTTACTCTCCCAGTGAAACTGGGATACCTTGGATGGAGGGCCACTTGCCAGGGACATCGAAAAATGACCATGAGCCTTGGAAGTGGAGAGACAAGGACTGCTTTGAATTTAATGCTCCCCAAAAGCAAACTGAGTGGGACAATAGAAATGCAAAGCTGCAAGGGTAAGCTTGTCCCCCATCCCCCAATAAATCAGGGGGCTCCCACTGCCTGAAATTTCCTTTTATGTGACCCCAGGAAGTGTGGTGTGCACGTGCCTGCGTATGTGTATGTGTGTGAGAGAGAGAGAGAGAGAGAGAGAGAGAGAAAGGTGGCCCCTGTTTGAACAGACACTTCCAATGAATTCCATTAGAAAAGCCAAACAAAATTCAGCAATGGGCAGGCTGCCCCCAGGAGGGGACATTCAGCCTCCAGGGCCCGGGTCTGGGGGTCCTGGGACACAGACCTGCCCTGGAAGGGCTCTCCTGGCCCCGCATCCTAAGGAAGGACGGTCCTAGCCCCTGGTGTCAGGGATGTGGTTGCTTGGCCCCTAAGCCAGACCCCTGCTGCGGACAGCCCCTTGGTCCTCCCCCACGTCCCCCCTCCCCTGCCCCGCCCTGCCCTGCCCTGCCACCTCAGGCGCCAGCACGGGGATATAGTAGAGCTGCAGGCTGAGTCTGGGGGTCAGGCAGAACTTCTGGGCCTCCCGTTTCCTGGCAAGAGGCAGCAGAGCACAGGGGTAAGGGCAGGTGCTGCGGCTTCAGACAATTCCACATCCCGGTTCTGATCGTTACTCTAGGCGGTCTGGGGGTGGGGGGGCGGCGATCTCAGCTATAGAATACGTACAGTAATGTCTGTCTCAGGGGCGGAGGGGGCGGTGGCAAGGATTACGGAGCTCACGGGAAAGAGCTGAGCTGGTAAGCATGGTGCTGGGTGATGGCGGGGTCTGACCGCACCCCTGCTGCATCCTGGCCAGGCCCTCCCACCCTGTCCCCAGCTGTCCCCCCACCAGCCGCCCGCCACAGGGCCCTACCTGAGGCAGTGGTAGGCCTGGGCCAGGCGCCCCAGCATCCTGTCGTCCCCCAGGACCAGCACCCTGGCTGTGTGAAGCCGAGAGACCCCCGGCAGCATCCTCCCATCTCCGCTGGGCAGGCCTGTCCTGCGGTGCAGTCCCTGGGGCCCGTCCCAGCACGCAGGCATCAAAATGTCGGCGGGCCACACCCGCTTCTTGATGCCTCCTTTGCGCTGCAGCCCAGCACGCTCCATCTCAGGGCTGCCGGGGACAGGCAGCTCATCAGCCCCCATGGGCAGGTCCCGCTCGATGCCACTGTCAGTGGACAGCATGGACGCCCGGGCCAGCTCCTGGTCTGGCCAGAGGCCCTGCAGATCCAAGGCCTCCAAGTCGGCACTGAGGCGCAACTGGGATCGCGGGCGCAGGAAGAGGACCAGCTCCTTCCCTGGGATGCAGAGAACAAGGGGACCGTCAGGGGAGAGAAGTTACGGGAGGCTGGCAGGGCCTCACCCCAGGAAGGCCTGTGGTTCCAGGTTTCTCAAACACCAGTCAGCCCAACAGAAGCCCCATGAAGGAACAAAGGTTCTGCGGCCAACAAAGATGGAGAACCCTGAATATTCCTGCCACCTGTAGTTGAGTTCCATTAGTAAACATGTTAAAGGCTCTGAGAAGTCCTGCAGTAAAGAAGTCATCTTCACTCAGTAACTCCCATTTAGCTGACCCTGGAGTCTTCTTTATCATATCCACTCCCTGGCTTCCTCCCATCCTCCCCCGGTCTGTAGCTTCCCCTGGGACATAGAGAACAGACCATACCTGCTCCAGGAAAGACTTCTAGGCTTTTCTAATCTACTTCCATTTTATTATCCATGAGAAAACTGAGTCAGTCTAGCGTGACCCAGAACATGAAAGGAAGTGCCAGGACTTGGACCCAGTTCACTAGCCCAGCACTTCCCGCCATGATCCACACCCTTGTGCCCCCACCCCCTGCCTGGCTGGAGAAGGGCTGGGGATAGCTGCATGGGAACACCAGTGTGGACATAAGTGTCAGGCAGGCGGGTCTCTCTGGAAGGGCTCCCGTCCAGCTGTGGGAACGGTAACTTCTTTCATGTCACTGTCATTGTGTCCCTTCTTAGGGACATTCATTGTTGGGGTCAGCATGGCATCCGGCAATTCCTAATCCCAGGAGGCCAGCGGCTAATGCACTGAGCTATTCTGACATGGAGAAAATGGGTCCTTCTGCATATGCAGAACAACTCAGGCACTAAGGAGCACACACGTGGACACACACAGAATGCGGACACACATACAGACATGCAGACACAGTACACATAGTCACAGACGGACACAGACCCGTGAAGACAGTTTCACGCGCGTGCGCGCGCGCGCACACACACACACACACACACACACGCACGCACGCAGACATACACACACCCCTCCTTCCAGCCAGCTCCCCGCCAGCCAGGTGCGAGGCACGGGACTCACAGAGCTGCTCTTCGTCGGTCCACAGGTGGAAGGAGATGTGGGGGCTGGGCAGAGGGATGCTTGGCTGTGGGTCCTGCAGGGGGTCACCTGAAGGCAGGAGGAGGGCTGTGGCATTCCCCTCTGCCCTCCCCGCTCCAGCTCCTGTAAGGCCCAGAGGGGGTGCAAAGACCCTCTCTCCCACATGGTCCAGCCCAGGCTTCCACTCTGTCCCATCAGCTCACCCAGGGCCCAACAGCGCACCTGTCCCCTCCCTGCCCGAGGCTGTTGAGCGGCCCCCTGCTTCCTCCAAACTTCCTGGCTCGACCGTTAGGACATTTCACAGACCAGCTCAGTGTCTTTCGGGACCTTTCCTCCCACGGTGGGTCCCTTCTTCCTAACCCCAAGCCAGAAGTACAGCCAGGCCAGGATGCCTTTCCCGCTGCTGTGTTTCTGTAACACAGCCTGGGTCTGATTCTTAGGAACTGGGTGATGTTGGGCGAGATCCTTCAGCCTCTTTCTAACTCAGGCTTCTGGTCTGTAAAACGAGGGGCACAGTAATTTCTATCTCAGAAGTTTACTCTGAGGATAAATCCATGCAATATTCAAATATATGCCAGGTGCCTCGAACAGCAGCTGGGGTACAGGAGGTGCCCGGCAGGGTTAGCTGTCATTGTGACCAAGTCACCCACCTTCTCAGCCCCCACCTTCCAAGTCCCCAGGCTCCCACCCGCCTCAGCCCCGCGTGGCAGGTGCGGCGCTGCTCTCTGGCGCCCCCCTGCGGGCCCTCGCTGCCCCCGCCTGCTTACCGCAGCAGCGTCCCCTGGCGGCCGCCGCCGGCCCCAGCAGCCCGCAGTAAATCTCCTCCAGCCTCTCCAGGTGTCCCTCCCGGCTCGGGTTGGGTTCGCTGGCCATCTGCTCCACGGCGGCCACCACGGCGTGGAAATAGCACTCCAGGGCTCGGCGAGGGCAGGCCTGCCGGGGAGGGTCGCCAGAGCCTGGGTCCCGGCCCAGCACCCACCCACCCACCCCAACTCTGACGTTGCCTGAAGCTGCTTACACCTGCCGGTCCCTCCTGTCCCTCACACCGAGGCTCCCTGCAAAGTCTGGACCCCAGAGGGGCAGGGATCACCGTCCTGGATGCAAACTCCGGGCAGGCAGGCCTTTGGTCACAGCTGCACCCGGGGCCCCTAGAACATCTTCAACCACAGAGTAGTTGCTCAAGAAAACAGCTGCTGATTATTCCCTGGACTTCTGTCATTCCTGCGCTATCTTGACATACCGTGCTGGTATTTACTTGCCATTTGTCTTCCAGTCAGCTCACTCTTTTTGGTTCAAAATTATTTCAGAGGGACAATTTATGTTGCTGCTCTATCTATATAAAAAGGCTAGTGCCTCAGGGAATCTTGTAATAACTAAGATGAATATTAACAATCACAAGGCACTATTATTAAATTCTAGCCAGGTACTGAGGCCTGCCGAGCTTTAGAGCTTAGAGCTTGCCTTCTTTCTCTCTCCTTCTAAAAGATTCATTATTTATTTTAGAGCGAGAGCTCATGCATGAGTACCGGGGAGAGGGGGTGAAAACCGTAAGCAGACGTGGGGCTCCCACCAGGGGCTCACTTTAGGGCATTGTGGGGTTCAATCTCACAACCCTGAGCTCGCGACTCGAGCCAAAACCAAGGGTCAGACGTTAACCAAACCAAGAGTTGGGTCTTAACCAACTGCACCACCCAGGTACCTCTGCTGCCTTCTCTCTTTAAAAGAGGGAAGTTAGTGTTAAAGAAGTTAGGGGTAAAGCACCATGCTGAGCCCTTCTCCTTAATGGAAATTAACGGAACCAGGTTTTGGAAGCCTCTCTCTGTGCATTCCATGTTCTCAAGCACGGCTGCTTCCTGCTTCCTTTAGTATACACAGCATCTGTCCCACCAGCTCATTTGCTCTCTGATTCCATCTTCCATACTCTCCTTCTCTTCCACTCTGCTTTGGCTACACAGGTCTCCTTATTGTTCCTCAAACACACCAGACATGCTTACACCCCAGGGCCTTTGAACTTGCTGTTCCCAATGCTTGCACGTTCTCTCCGATATCCACATGGCTCGCTCTTTCACTTCCTTTAGGACTTGACTCAAAAGTCACCTGACAAGGAGACTTCCCTGATCACATGATCTAAAATTTCAGCCTCTCCTCCCAATTTCACATCCTTCTTTGCACATTTCCCCCTTTCGCTGTTATTTATCATACTGTACATTTTATTTATTATCACACACACAGAAAAAGAAAGAGATACACTATAATATAAACTCCCCAAGGACAGGAATTTTTATCTGGATCCCAGCATCCAGAAGGAACACGGCCTGGCATGTCGTGAGTGCTCAGTAAATATTTAATGTATTTATAAATTAAGCACCAAGATGAAACGGACCCTGAGGGCTTTTCCAATCAGATTCATATGTTCCTCTAATTGCATTATTTGTTTGTTCTGCAAACATTTATTGGAGTCCCAGCTGGTCAGAATGACGTGCTCTCTCTTAATCAGGAAGCCACGACCCTCCTTGGCAGACCTCTAACCCAGAATGGAGGTGGGTCTGCCTGTGTCCTTGTTAGAACCCCACATCCTCTAAGCCAGGAGACGAGCTCCTTCAGTGGCGGGGCGGGAGCGGGGGGACTGAGGGAAAACAGCCAGAGGATATAATTGAGGGCACTTGCTCAGAGGGTCTTATGGGCCACTGTAATGACTCTGGCTCTGACACCGTGTGATGTGATAAATGCACGTGGCTACCCAGATCCCCCACTTTCAGGACTGAGACACACCCGAGCCCTGCTACTGGGAGCGATGACAGCTGTCCACGGTGAGCTGAACCTCTTGCCAAAGTCGGTCTCCCCTGAAGAAAGCCACCTCCACGCTCACGCGCTGCTCCCGAGGACAGTCCACTCCCAATAACTAGCAGATGTGGGAGGAAGTAAAAAGGTCCGGTCCCTCATGGTAATTCAGGACAACTCCGATTCCTACACAATCAGCTGTGGGTAAACTCCTTCTGGGGCTCAGGAGATTGAAGACAAGAGAGACAGCTGACCCCGAGGAGATGCGGCTGGTCTCCAGTCCCACTGCTGATTCAGTGACATCTGGCCCCCAAAGCTGTGTCTCTAGGCCCCTTGCTTGGCCTCATCCGCACATCGCTCCGGAAATCCCCGACACCCGCCTTTGCAAAGCAGCCTCCCCGGTTCCTGTTCCCCTGACCCCACGGTGTGGGACGCACAGCCCCAGGTGGCACCGTCCCCCTCAAAGATGTCCTGTACCTGCTACAGCCCGTGGCCGGAGCATCTCTAACCTACTGGAGCCTTGGCTGTGCACAGCGGCCCAGGCTGAGTCAGGCAGAGAGATTAGGATGCAAGGGGGTGAGCGTGAGAAAGGAACGAAATGCCCCGGACTGGAGCAGGGGGCGAGTTAAATAACTAACAGCGCGCTCAGAGGTGAGAATATGGTGCAGCCATCAGGGCTACATATTTTCAAGGGAAAACACTCCCATGTGGCGTATTTCCAGTGGGATGGGGGATACCGGTATTATGTAAGCGCACACACCCATGCGGTATATAAAAACCATATACAGAGTTTGGGATCTCCTTTTGTTAGAAAGGAGCGGTGGGGGAGCAGGGCTGGGAAGCGGCAGAACATAGGTCTGATGTCACAGAGATCTGGGTTCAAATCCTGACTCAGTCCGTTTGTATCTGTGTGACCACGGGCAGGTCAGCAACTTCTCTGTGCCCGTTTGGATCATTCCGCCCATTTCACAACGTTAAGATGGGATACACGTGAAGCGCTTAGCGCGGTGCCCGGGACACAGCGGACATTCACTCCACAGCAGCTACGATGATGAGTGCTGCCAGCCTGGTTCAGGAAACAGACCACAGTGTTCACTGCTAGTGTGTCTGGGTAGACAGGCCTGCGGGAGGTTTGTTTCCTCTTCTGGCTTACGCGCATTCCCCCCACCCAAGATCTTCCTCCGTGAGTGTGTCCCCCTTTTTGACTGAGGGGAAGGTGGTATGAAAACGGGAGAAGTGGGAGGGTGAGTGGGAGCGCTGGTGTGGGCGGCAGCCCAGGAGGGCTGGGGCGGGGCGATTACCTTCAGCTTGCTCTGCAGGGCGCTGGCGTGGCAGGCGTCCCCGAGTGCCGCCTGCAGGGCGTGGGAGACCACGTGCCGCATGCAGGCCTCCGGCGTCTGCTGCACCTGCGCGGCCTGGATCTCCAGCAGCAGGGCGCTGCACACGGAGGGAGATACCAGCTCCGGATCCACGAAGAGGAACACTCTGAGGGCAGAGATGGCAGGGGGCGCCAGTGAGGGTGACCCCCCCCCCAGGAGGAGAGCCCCCGGAGGGGCACCGTCAGAGCCTCGCAGCCCCCAGGTGTTTTGTTTCTCCAAACACAGGAGCCTGGAGTTTGAAAGTCGAGGTGGGGGGGGTGGCAATAGGGAGCGGTGGGGACTGGGGCAGATCAGAGCAGGTAGGAGCAGCTACCCCCTGCTGGGGTGGTGGCTGGGGAGAGGGCTAGGTTAGTTTCATGTCCAGGTAACCCCAACCGAAATCCTGCTCCCTCCCCCAGCTCCGCGGCCCACTGATGACATCACCCTCCAGGACAGATCCTAAATCCTTCCTGCCCAAAGGCGCTCTGGACCCTGAGTGCACCCCATCTCCTCCCATCGCCTGATCACGCCCAAAAAACCAGCCTCCCGCACCTGCTCCCCTTCCCGGCTGCCAGCTCCTCTGGGTCCCTCCAGCTCCCTGCACCCCAATCTGCCCCTTCCGCGGCTAGTTCAGCAGTGGCACCTGCAGGGCAGGAGGCAAGGCACCCCCACTCCATCAGCCCCTCTTCCCAACACTACAAGCAGACATTTGCTCAATCTTGTATCAAGGGCCGGGCACACACAGACCAGAGCCCCAGATTCCATGGTGTGCTTGTGGCCTGAGCTGTAAATACCCCAGGGCTGCCTCTGGCTGCCTGGCTGGTTGATGCTGCATCATGGCTAAGGGTGGGGTGGGACAACAGAACTCCAGAGTGGCTCAGTGTCCATGTCACCTTCTGCATGGGAGCAGGATGGCTCAGAAGCAGCCCAAGAAGAAAGACCTACCCTGCTTCCGGGGAGTCCCCAGAGAAGCCAGGCCTTGCCCACCCTTGACAATACGCCCCACGGCTGGACACATGGCATGGACGGGAAGCTCTGCTGGGGTTCATCCCCACCCCGCCCGGTCCCCCTCAGTGAGCAGTCATGGAGTCCCAACATCTAGAGGGGACAGAAGGTAGCACCCTTCCTGGGGCCACTCACCTCTCCTGGTAGGGGTACAGCTCATTCATCAGGTTCTGCTCAGCAATGACCAGCCTTTGGTACAGCGTCCCTGCAAAGCAGACCACCTCAGCCAGCAAGCCCCTAGTCCCTGGCCCTCCTTCCTCACTTCCACAGGAGGTGCTGGGACTTCAGAGCTCCAGGGACCTCAGACAGAAAGCAAGACCATGACACGCTACTGCTGGGTCTGAACTGGGGCAGCGCTTTCCTGAGGACAGCTCTTACCGGAGACGGATTTTACCTGGGACAGCTCTTACCTGGGACAGACTTTACCTGGGACAGCTTTTACCTGAGACAGACTTTACCTGGGACAGCTCTTACCTGGGACAGATTCTACCTGGGACAGATTTTACCTGGGACAGCTCTTACCTGGGACAGCTCTTACCTGTGATGGCTCTTACCTGGGACAGCTCTTACCTGAGACAGATTTTACCTGGGACAGCTCTTACCCGAGGATTTTACCTGGGATACCTCTTACCCGAGGATTTTACCTGGGATACCTCTTACCCAAGACAGCTCTTACCTGGGATAGCTATTACCTGGGACAGCACTTACTGGGGAAAGCTCTTACCTGGGACAGCTCTAACCTGGGACAGCACTTACCCGGGACAGCTCTTACCTGGGACAGCAGTCTCTGTTTTCAGCCTTATGGCACAATCCAAGGCTACGGTGCAGTAGGGGGCGGGCAGGGTTAGCAACCTCGTGCAAAAGTTGTAGGTTCTCCGGTAGAGCTCTTCTGTGATGCCGGTGGCCTGGGTAGGAGGGAGGAGTCAGGTGCCTGGAGCCCTAGGTCAGAAGGCTCTGGATGGGGCGGGAGAGTGGGATGGAAAGGAGGAAGGACGGGTCTGACAGCCAGAGCTGGGCTCACACCTCTCTCCCAAACGTACACCCCCAGCGTCTTCTCCCAGTGCCCATGACACACCTCCTGACACCCTGCTCCAATTCACTGTGGTGGGAACCCATCTCCCCCTGTTCTGCTAGCAAATCCACCCCTCTCAGCACCCTCTTCCTCATTCCTGCAGAGCTCCAGGTTCCAAGCTTGGCTGTCCCGTGGCCACGATGCTCACAGCGCAGTGCCCGGGGGCTCCCCTTCCCCACCCACCCCCCAGGCTCCTACCCTGCTGGAGCTCAGCCCCATTCTGCTCCTGGATTCCAGCAGCCCCTGAACTGCTCGTCACGCCCCTCATCCCCCTTGCTGCCCACTCCCACCCCCCGCGACTATACACAGCTCCTGGTTCCCGTTCTCAAGACGTTTTCTCCACGGCTTGTCTCTCCTCTGTACAGGGTCAGCGATGGCCCCCAGCGCACAGAGAAGCAATCCCGAGGACTTTCTTCTGACATTCGAGGCTCTCGTGCATTCTACACACCGCCTCCCCCACTTCCCCCACTTCTGCCCCAGGACACCCCTCCGTGTATTAGGGCGAGGGCACAGCTAGAGTGGAGAAGCCAGTTTAGGGCGGGTAGTCCAAGAGCTCTAGGCTCGCCCACGCAGAGACAGGCATCCTCTGAGGGAGAAGACAGTGTCTGGCCCTGGTGCTCATGGGGTTCCACGATGCCCCCGACCCTCCGCTCTAGCTCACCTTAGTGAGCACGTACAGCAGAGTATGCAGCAAGGGAATGATGACATGCCGGAGGTCTTCGCTTTCTGCCTAGAAAACAGGAGACCACGGGGCATTTACTGGGCTGGGGCTCGAGGTGGGCTCACCACCTCCTAGCAGAACACAGGTTGGGTGGGGGTAGGTGTGGGCAGGAGATGGGGTAAAAGGCAAGCATCTCACCATGCCAAGGGGAGGGAAAAGGGCACAGCCTGCCCCAGCAAGGAAGGGGTGGGGTGGGGAGGGAGCATGGGGGTGGAGCGGGCTGGGAGAGCCTGGGGGTGTGGGGGGCATCCACTCGGGGCAGGAGCTGGTGCCGAGCAGTAGGCCAGCCCCCCGACATGGAGGTGCCCCGAGAGCAGCATCTCCCAAATGGATACAACACAGAGCATGGAGGAGGGGATCATTTTGGGGAGGTACAAGAACAACTTTTTTTTTAAAAAGATTTTATTTATTTATTTGATGGACAGAGATCACAAGTAGGCAGAGAGGCAGGCAGAGAGAGAGAGAGGGAAGCAGGCTCCCCAAGGAGCAGAGAGCCCAATGCAGGGCTTGATCCCAGGACCCTGAGATCATGACCTGAGCTGAAGGCAGAGGCTTTAACCCACTGAGCCACCCAGGCGCCCCTACAAGAACAATTTTGAAACATTTTTAATAGGTATGCATTTATGTTTATCCGCATTTTCTGTTCCCACAAGTGGGGGTTTTCCATGTGTAGCCATGGTACAGAGCTTCTTTCTGAAATACGCTAAGTCACATGAAACCGTGGGAGTCAGCGTAAAGAAAATATTCCTTCAAGAAGTAGAGGAGGGAGACAGAGCTGCTGAAAATCACGCAGGAGGTCCACAAAGGACCACAGTTGGGGGGAGGGTGGATGCAGCACTGATGGGACTGAGGCCCCAGCTGGCTTGGCCTCTCTCTTCCTCCTCCCCACCACCCACCTGCCTCCCTGAAACCCAAGAACCCACCTTTTCCAGCTCTCTGAGCAGAATACGGACCAGCACCGGACTCTTCCCAGGATCTCTCTCGACCTTCTTGTGCAGGGACCATCTCCACATGCCTGGCCAGGACAGAGAGGACCCCAGCACACGCAGGCGGGGCATAGGAGCTCTTAGAGGGGATCCCCCTGAGCAGGACCCTGAGCCCTTGGAGCCCCACACTGTGACTCTGACTGACTACAGATCTGACCCCTCAGCCGGGCGTCTGGCTCTGGCGACACGGTGGGGAGGGCTTGTCACACGTGGAGGATTTCTGTTCCACTGCCCGTCAAGGACAGTGCATTCTCGGGGTGGAAAGGCAGGGATGTGGGACATGAGTGGGCCAGAGTGTGCGTGTGGCCTACAGGCTGGCGATGTTTGGAGCTCAGCACCTGGGGCCACGTGTCTGGAGGTCGTGCAGGTCCAGAGAGTCAAGAGGAATTTTGCTCGCACGGGGAGCTGGGGAGGTGGCTGAGAAGGAGTGGGACAGAGGCTGCCTGCTGGCTCTTACCTTGGTTGCTCTGCAGGGCTGGGGCATGGGGGCTGAGTTCCCGGAGAACAGCTTGCACGCTCCGCTGGAGGTCCAGCTCCGCATCTGGGCAGCAGGGGTGGGTGGGGGAGCACTGGGCCAGGAGCTTTGGAGCTCAGCGACCCCGGCCTCACCCTCACCCCCATGTCTGCTCTCCCTGAGACCATCTTTCACCCCTTCTTTAAGCCCCAAGAGGTGCCCCAAAGTGATCAACTTAGAGCAGGCAGCCAGCACACAGCTCTCCAATAAGCCTTTCCATCAGCACCTCCCTGTTCTCTGTAAAACCCACGTTCCCCAAAGCACCGTGGGTATTCCACTGGTGGCTCACAGGGCTGTTTTAGGGGACACTCATGCAGTCCTAAAACCTGAATAATTAGGCACTTATCTTTATGTGTTCAAAAAAATATGTGTTCCTAAATTTCAAGTCAATTTCATGTCAGATCAAGGATGGGACAGGAAACGACAGACTGTCCCCTCATCAAACTGAACTCAGGCTTTGCTAAGCCAACTTCCCCTCCAGACCCCAGCCCTGGCCCCGGTTCTGTCCCTCACCCCATCCCGCTGGCCTGGCCCAGCTTGAGCAGAACACCGTTAGCCAAATCTAGACGCCCCACGTCTCCTCGGACTGATTTCCCACCTGCCCCACCCCCTTGCAATCCATGGGCTTGTAACTCCCCCGATGTCTTTGTGTCATTTGGGGTGGAGCCCCATCTCTGTCCCCTGGTGTGACTGTCTTGAATGAAGTCTCTTTTGCCACTGAAACCAGTGTCATGAGATTGTTCTTCAGCTGTGGTCCGTTGGCATGTCAAAGCGTGAGTGTGGTACAAGAATGAGCCACTGACATCCGGAAAGCATGGGAGTGGTGGGGAGGCCCCTGGCCCATCTCCCACTGCAAGAAGAGGTTAGCTGGTCAGGGTGGGAGGGGGCGCTCAGGGCTGGGCATCTGCAGCCCATCACCTGGTGCGGGGCCACACTCCCGGCCACTGTGACACTCCTCCTCCAAGACTTGCACCCTTGAGGCACCTGACTTGGGCTCAGGGCTCCCCAACCACACTGCTGAGCCTTTCTTGGTCACAACTGGGTCGAATGCATTTCCACGAGCACCTCAACTCTTTCTCCTTCCCTCGGAGCTGGACACCCATCAGCGCTCTCTCCGTAGCCTGCCCCTGGGCTGTGTCCCCACCTCAAGCCCTGCATGGCCACCCCATCATGAGGTCTGCTTCTCGGAGACTCCAGACTAAAAACAGGAAGCATGAGAGACACTTCCCACACCATAAATTCCTCTTTCTGACTGGCTCTCACCAAGCGTCTGTCTTCCTTCACGAGCCAAGTGTGCCTTTGGTTGTCAGAGAATACCAACCACATGCCTCAGGGGTTCCTCTTTTGTTGGGTTGTCAGGAAACTGACAAAGTGGGGGCCCAGCCTCAAAAACCAGCTTATCTCCAGGGACAGGGACGTCTCCTCTCTGCTCCTCTTTGGGGCTCTTGCTTTATGTTTTACGAAACCTGCATCATAATTGCCTCGCACTCCTTTGGAAGGATACAGGTAGAGATCACATGTTTTAAAGAATCAGCAGGTAGAACGTGTTCAGCCAAAGCACTGGTGCTCAGGGACCGAACCCCTCTGGGGTTCTGGCATGAGCTCGGCTAAGTTGGCCAGGGCTCCCCTGCTTCTCGAAAAACCCCCACCTTTCTCCTGCTGCTCACTTGGTCCCCTTGGACCTCATCAAAGTCTGTTTCTGAGTCTCCCCAAGGCTGAGAGTGGGCGGCTCTCACAGCTCAAGTTTCTCCCCCCGCCACTCTGCTGGGCTGTGCATCACCCCCCACCCTTCCCCACCCCCCGCCCCCCTGGCAAGGAAATCATGAAGCCTGGCACGAAGGCTGGTCACAAGCTGCCTTTCTAACTACCTGTGTCCACCTTACATGGAGATTTTTTTTAATTTTATTTACTTATTTTGACAGAGAGAGATCACAAGTAGGCAGAGAGGCAGGCAGAGAGAGTGGGGGGGGGGGCGGGATCAGGGTCCCTGCTAAGCAGAGAGCCTGATGTGGGCCTCGATCCCAGGACCCTGAGATCATGACCTGAGCCGAAGGCAGAGGCTTTAACCCACTGAGCCACCCAGGCGCCCCAACCTTACATGGAGATTTAATGAGTTAATGCAGGCAGAGTTTTTAAAACATTGTTATGTCTACTTTCTCCTTTCTTCCTTCCTTCCTTCTGTCTCCCTCCGTCCCCAGCCGCCTCTCCGTGGACAGCACAGACTTCAAACTATGATAGTCATCATCTCCTCCCTGCCCCTCCCTAGAAGGGCAGCCAAGCCTTTGTCTTCTGAGCCCTGGGTTCCTCTGCCTTGCACAAGGAGTCAAGCTTTTATGTTTCAGAGAAAAATAGAGAAGTTGCCAATAGCCCCAGGAGACAGCCCCACATAAAGTATGTTTTCGAAAGTCTGGGCGGCCGGAACAAGCGTTCAGGCTTTGGTCCGCATCTGGCTTGCAGACGTGTTTTGTTTGGGCTTGTAGAGTGTCTTGGGAAAAAAAAAAAATCAAATCAGCTGCTGACATGTACAAATCAGGAGATTTTGCATGAAAGTTTGGGTTTCTGGCATCCCTGGAAAGTCTGTTGACACCAGGCATGCATTCTTCGCACATGTGACAATCGACGGGGCACAGCTACCCCGGTTCTTCACAGCGGCCCCCTCTCCTTGTCTGGCTCATCGACACCCTGTGCCTGGCCCCTTGAGTTTGAGACCCCTGGCTCTAGGACTGAGACAACCGAGCTGGAAATGTCTCAAAGGAACCCGGAGGCTTCCTGCTGCTTGTAGCTATTGAGGACAGTGGCAATCCGAGGTGGGAGGCTGGATGCCCCAGGGCTGTAAGAGCACAGGGTTATGGGGACCCAAAGAATGAGAAAGATTGGGGCTGGCTGGGACATAGCCTCGGGGGCTGGCTGAGAGCTCAGACGAAGGCAGGTGAGCACTATACTTGGTGCTTGAGGGCCACGGCTGTGGTCTCCTGGGTCACCTTTGCCAGCGCATTAGAATGTCTCCAAAGGAACCCTCTCTCTCCCTATGGACCGTGCACACCTGGCCAACCTGTTCAGGGACGGGGGTGTGGCAGCTACAGTGGATTGAAGACACAGCCTCTTCCCATCATGAAGACTTTGTAACCTCTGGGCTTATGAGATCACAAACAGGGGGCAGGCAGCCCAGGCAAATGACTCTGGAATTTGTACTGACCTTGGAAAATGAGAGCTTGAAGCTGGATTTGATCTGATTAAGCAAACGAAAGAAAGAGGATATTTCTTGTGCCTCAAGCGTCTCAGGGTTATTCGTATATGACATGCATGTCTAACATTACTCTTGACTCAGAACAGCCAATAAATAAAGGCCATTCATAATTATTACCTTCCCCTCCATCCAGGAATGTGAGATATTACTATTAGGCATCATGTTACTATTAATATCTCACATTTAAATAGCACATAAAAGGCATACACACAGAGAGTCTTACGGAGGTGTGGTAAGACAATGTGAGGTGTTCATCAAACCGAGTTCATGTTTGTCCTGGGTCCCCGGGAAGACTACATTTCCCAGAATCCCCTGCAGCTAGATGGACGTCACGCATTGAGCCTGTCTAGTGGAATGCGGTGGACACAACGTATGACATAAAATCCTCTGCACTGGGGCACATGGGTGGCTCCATGGGTTAAGGATCTGCCTCCGGCTCGGGTCATGACCCCAGGGTCTAGGGATCAAGCCCCACCTCGGGCTTCCCGCTCAGCGGGGAGTCTGCTTCTCCCTCTCCGTCTGCAGCTCCCTTGCTTGTGCTCGCTCTCTCACTCTCTCAAATAAATACATAAAACCTTTAAAAAAATCCTCTGTATTATCCGCCACCTCTCTCTTCCTGTTCTTTGGTGACCTTGGAAGACGTGTTGGAGGAGATGGTGCCATGAGAGGGCACATCCCTGAAGGACTGGAGCCCAGCCTGGATGGTGATGTGAGACGTAAGCGTCGGTTGTGCTAACCCACCGACATCGGGGTCACGGGTGTACCAGCTAGCCTTTCTGACAGACCCTCGGACGCGCAGATAATTTTCTGGAATCTCATCTCACTGGCTTCTGAGCAGAGCCCTGGGAGCTCAGCAGGGCAATACAGTTCTTCCTGTTCTGCTTTGTAGATTCCAAGTCAAGAGCTCTTAGTCTTGTGCCGTATTACCTCTCCGAACACAGAGGTCAGACCCAGAAGGACCTTGGAGGCTCTCGTCCCATTTGACAGCTGGACAAATGAGGCTGGCATTTGTGTGAGGGCACAGAGCTGTTGGAAGAGAGCTGTCCCTTTGGCGGACGCTCTTCCTCTAAAGCTCCACTCTTATTATGTCCCCTTATAGTCACCTGCTTAGCCGGAAAAGGGAGAACAACATATGTCTATCTATGCGTATCTGGGCTTCGAATACCAAAAGCCAATGCCCCAGATAAAGGTGCCTGGACAGAGTCGCAACTCTCAAGGTAGTTCAAGGTCCAGTCTTCGATTTCAGGCCATTCGAAGCTATAGCAGCACAAGGCCATTCCAGCTCTGTGTTGCCCTGTGGTCCCAGACAGTCCTTGTAGGATGTTTGCCTTTTCTCTCCTTCCCAATCTTGGTTGCACAGGAGAATCACCAGAGAGCTTTAAAAAAACACTAACATACAGCCCCCCAGCAAACTAGCTTAAATCAGATCTCTGAGAGTAGGGACTAATAATTTCTTTTTTAATAGCTCCCCAGGACACTCTAATGGATAGTTAGGGTAGCAATTACTGTCTTAGCTCTTAAGCTGAGAGCTCTGGACAATTGAGCTGTTAGTCAAGGAAGGAGTCAGGTGCCGAGATGCTCACAGAGGCTGATTATCCCTGCATAAAGGATGAAGGTCACAGGGTCAGAATGGCTCCTTCCTGGCTTCATGGTGACAGAAGGAGATTCAAAAAACATAATGGGAGGAAGTTTCATTTTTATTATTGCTGTATTTCACTTGTTTTGCAAGACGTATGCATTTCTTCAGAAACGTGACCCTGGGAACTAGGCAGCAGACAACATGGCTCTAACTCTCTTGGGGTCCAGCCATGACATGAATAAAATCTTCTAAGATTTTTCTAAGCAGACCTGTCTTTGTTGTCTTGAAGTCACCCCATACCTATTTGTCACGGTTTTTTATGGGTCACCTCGACTGGGCCACAGGACCCCCAGATATTTGTTCGAACATTCTTCTGGGTATCTCTGGGAGGGTGTTTTTGAATGAGGCTTTTAAACCACTAGACTGAGTTGACAGACTGTTCTCCCTAACGTGGGTGGGCCTCATCTAATCAGTAGAAGGCCTGCACAGAACAAAAGGCTGACACCCGCCCCACCTCCAAGTAATAGGGAATTCTTCCTGCTTGACTGCCTTCCAGCTAGGACACTGGTTTTTTCCTTGCCTTTGGACTGGAACTATACCATAGGCTCTCCTGGATCCTAGCTTGCCAACTGCAGGCTTTGGGACTTGTCAGCCTTCATAATAATGTGAGCAAATTCCTTAAGACAAATCATTCTGCACATGGTTGTACAGTAGGACACCCTTCCTAACACACCCGCAGAGGCCCAAGGCATCGGGATGGAGAGGGCTGGTGGAACAAACTAAGTATTTCCTCAGCCTTCTTTAGCCAAGGAGTGGAATTGGGGCAGGCGGTAGATGTGTCCATCCAGATGCAAGGGTTATAGGGACACTCGGGTCACTTGGTACCCAGAAAATTACTACCAAAGAGGTTGAATTTGTACTTTCCAAGGGATGTTCCCCTCAAACTGGAGTACTGGAAAGTATTGTCCTTTTCTGCTTTCCGGATAGCAGCTGTCAGAATCAGCTCCCCCTCCCTGGGATGGAAATGGCAAATACCAACAAACACTTTCTGGACCATTCTCTTCTAAAATCGCTATAAAATCACTAACCCCAGGGCCCGTTTCCTCATGTCAGGTGAGCCATAAAACAACTGAGAGGAACACGATTGGTTTGTGTGTGTGTTCTGACTCAGACTTGGGACTCCCGAGCTCTGTACAGATGGATGTCACTGGGTACATTGGTTTCCCTGGTTTTCAGAGGGTGAAATTTCTCTGACCTTGACATATTGACCATCTGGACCTCACGGAATGCCCTTCCAACCAGGGCCGAGGACTCATCTGGGAATCCCCTGGTCTCAGCCTCTCAGCTGGTCACTGAAATCTGGGCTCAGCACCCAGACACACCATCAGCCAGAGTAATGGGGCTCACAGTTTTCTTCCATCCCACACCTGATCCTCCTTGCCCCCATGTGGAACAAAGGCTCAGATTTGCAGGGATGGCAAAATAACCACAGCTTTGGTGCCTGTGCCACACTGCTCTTTTGTATCCCTTAAAATAAATAATTTTTCAGGTGCCCCTCTTCTTGACTCTAGAATGACAGAACACTTTAGGGCTCTAGGACGGTGGGGAAGGTTATAAACATTTGTAATTTGGGAACACAGCCCATACAACTGCAGTTCTGATCATGAACGCCCCCTCCCCCTCAGAGCTCCCAGGGCAAGCATCGGAATTTTGGGATGTTTCCTTCTGCCCATCTGATGTGGGAGGGGGTCACCTGTCATATCCTTGGTGGTGGGTATCTGTGGTTTCCCCTGCCCAGCAATCCTCCCTGCTCACTGTGATCTTGGTGAGGCTGTGGCCTTTGGCCTTGCTCTGCCAAATTACCAAATTACCTTTTTTTTTTTCTTTTTTTTTTTTTTCTGACCCCACCCCATAGTTTTGCTGGAGAGGAAAAGGACCCATTTTCTAAATCTGGAGGACTGTGCGGGTCTAGAGTATCGGTGGGGTTGGGAATAGGGCTGAGGTTCCCAGGGTCCTGACTCAAATACCCAATGCCAGTGGTTTCAGTGAAAGAAAAATCCAGACACGTAATCAGCAGCACCATTTCCTCGTGTGGATGCCCCACTCGGGAGAATTCCCACTGTTAGGGAACCTGGACTGGATCCTGAAGGAAGAACCAAGGGGCATTTGGAGAGTTTGGAGGATTGGAGGTTTATTTAACACTGGTGGACTCCTCAGGACAGTGTTCTCCAAAGGTCTGAGCCCAGAGCCCAAGCTGGGAGGGTAATTTATACCTTTCTACTTCCGCATACTTGGGCACAGGACTGAGCTGGCCAACGGACTCTCTCTCCCTCTAGGCGAACCTTGTGCCGATGATGGCCAGCAGGGAAGAAGGCGCAGAGCGTTCTCTGAGGTCACTGTCTACCTCCTCCCGTCCTAGGGGTGGGTCCGCTCTGCTCCCCGCCCTTGCTGGTGCCTGGGGCTTCAGCTGGTCCTTCAATGCTAGGCCATTCTTTATTTTTGGTAGTTAAACTAGCCCTATGGGTTTCTACTGCTTGTGTCCAAAGAAAATTTATTGGAGCACCTTTCTTCCTAAAACACAGCATGGCGTGCGTCTACTGTTATAATTAAAGTCAGGACAAAGTAAGTTGGTTTTGAAATATTTAGATTTTTACGGGGCTGGCTCTACCACTATCCTCCCAGGGCAAACCCCAGCTGGTTAAGGACAGCCCAGAATATCTCAGTGCCAGGATTCATGGACTTGTCTGATTCAGATGGAACGTCTGGCTGTGTGAGGCTCTATGCAGTGGGGTGTGTGTGTGTGTGTGTGTGTGTGTGTGTGTGTGTGTGTGTGTAAAGGACACATGTCTGAGGGATGGTAACAACCCAGTAGCTGCACCTGCCTTGGGCATGCCCTCCCCTTCCCTGGATGGGGGTCTTTAAGGGCATCAGAGTCTACGTCTCACGAGGAGTGCTGTGGGACTTCCCGGGTGACCGTTGGTGATACACATCTCGAGGGAAGGGTCATCTCTCCTTGTGTCCCAGATTGATAAGGCATGAAGAGACTAGGGTTGGGAATGAGCCAGACCTTGGTTCTGATCATGGTTCTGCCACTTACCAGCTGTGTAGCTTTGCACAAATTACCTAACTTGAGCCTCCGTTTCCCCTTCATTGAAACGAGGAAGATTACATTGATACTGTACCTCATGGATCCTTCTGATGAACGCACAGGACACCCCCAGTGAAATAACTTAGGGCACAGAGCCGGACCCAGATTGCTGGGGTCAAACCCTGGTTTGACTATACGGTATCTGTGGGTGGCCTTGGGAGCAGTACCTCTCCCCTCTGGGTCTCACTTTCTCCTTCTGCGAAATGGGGGATAACATCTATCTCATGGGGTCTTTACAAAGACTCTGGGTCTCACTTTCTCCTTCTGCGAAATGGGGGATAACATCTATCTCATGGGGTCTTTACAAAGACTCCCCCCCCCCAGGAGGAGAGCCCCCGGAGGGGCACCGTCAGAGCCTCGCAGCCCCCAGGTGTTTTGTTTCTCCAAACACAGGAGCCTGGAGTTTGAAAGTCGAGGTGGGGGGGGTGGCAATAGGGAGCGGTGGGGACTGGGGCAGATCAGAGCAGGTAGGAGCAGCTACCCCCTGCTGGGGTGGTGGCTGGGGAGAGGGCTAGGTTAGTTTCATGTCCAGGTAACCCCAACCGAAATCCTGCTCCCTCCCCCAGCTCCGCGGCCCACTGATGACATCACCCTCCAGGACAGATCCTAAATCCTTCCTGCCCAAAGGCGCTCTGGACCCTGAGTGCACCCCATCTCCTCCCATCGCCTGATCACGCCCAAAAAACCAGCCTCCCGCACCTGCTCCCCTTCCCGGCTGCCAGCTCCTCTGGGTCCCTCCAGCTCCCTGCACCCCAATCTGCCCCTTCCGCGGCTAGTTCAGCAGTGGCACCTGCAGGGCAGGAGGCAAGGCACCCCCACTCCATCAGCCCCTCTTCCCAACACTACAAGCAGACATTTGCTCAATCTTGTATCAAGGGCCGGGCACACACAGACCAGAGCCCCAGATTCCATGGTGTGCTTGTGGCCTGAGCTGTAAATACCCCAGGGCTGCCTCTGGCTGCCTGGCTGGTTGATGCTGCATCATGGCTAAGGGTGGGGTGGGACAACAGAACTCCAGAGTGGCTCAGTGTCCATGTCACCTTCTGCATGGGAGCAGGATGGCTCAGAAGCAGCCCAAGAAGAAAGACCTACCCTGCTTCCGGGGAGTCCCCAGAGAAGCCAGGCCTTGCCCACCCTTGACAATACGCCCCACGGCTGGACACATGGCATGGACGGGAAGCTCTGCTGGGGTTCATCCCCACCCCGCCCGGTCCCCCTCAGTGAGCAGTCATGGAGTCCCAACATCTAGAGGGGACAGAAGGTAGCACCCTTCCTGGGGCCACTCACCTCTCCTGGTAGGGGTACAGCTCATTCATCAGGTTCTGCTCAGCAATGACCAGCCTTTGGTACAGCGTCCCTGCAAAGCAGACCACCTCAGCCAGCAAGCCCCTAGTCCCTGGCCCTCCTTCCTCACTTCCACAGGAGGTGCTGGGACTTCAGAGCTCCAGGGACCTCAGACAGAAAGCAAGACCATGACACGCTACTGCTGGGTCTGAACTGGGGCAGCGCTTTCCTGAGGACAGCTCTTACCGGAGACGGATTTTACCTGGGACAGCTCTTACCTGGGACAGACTTTACCTGGGACAGCTTTTACCTGAGACAGACTTTACCTGGGACAGCTCTTACCTGGGACAGATTCTACCTGGGACAGATTTTACCTGGGACAGCTCTTACCTGGGACAGCTCTTACCTGTGATGGCTCTTACCTGGGACAGCTCTTACCTGAGACAGATTTTACCTGGGACAGCTCTTACCCGAGGATTTTACCTGGGATACCTCTTACCCGAGGATTTTACCTGGGATACCTCTTACCCAAGACAGCTCTTACCTGGGATAGCTATTACCTGGGACAGCACTTACTGGGGAAAGCTCTTACCTGGGACAGCTCTAACCTGGGACAGCACTTACCCGGGACAGCTCTTACCTGGGACAGCAGTCTCTGTTTTCAGCCTTATGGCACAATCCAAGGCTACGGTGCAGTAGGGGGCGGGCAGGGTTAGCAACCTCGTGCAAAAGTTGTAGGTTCTCCGGTAGAGCTCTTCTGTGATGCCGGTGGCCTGGGTAGGAGGGAGGAGTCAGGTGCCTGGAGCCCTAGGTCAGAAGGCTCTGGATGGGGCGGGAGAGTGGGATGGAAAGGAGGAAGGACGGGTCTGACAGCCAGAGCTGGGCTCACACCTCTCTCCCAAACGTACACCCCCAGCGTCTTCTCCCAGTGCCCATGACACACCTCCTGACACCCTGCTCCAATTCACTGTGGTGGGAACCCATCTCCCCCTGTTCTGCTAGCAAATCCACCCCTCTCAGCACCCTCTTCCTCATTCCTGCAGAGCTCCAGGTTCCAAGCTTGGCTGTCCCGTGGCCACGATGCTCACAGCGCAGTGCCCGGGGGCTCCCCTTCCCCACCCACCCCCCAGGCTCCTACCCTGCTGGAGCTCAGCCCCATTCTGCTCCTGGATTCCAGCAGCCCCTGAACTGCTCGTCACGCCCCTCATCCCCCTTGCTGCCCACTCCCACCCCCCGCGACTATACACAGCTCCTGGTTCCCGTTCTCAAGACGTTTTCTCCACGGCTTGTCTCTCCTCTGTACAGGGTCAGCGATGGCCCCCAGCGCACAGAGAAGCAATCCCGAGGACTTTCTTCTGACATTCGAGGCTCTCGTGCATTCTACACACCGCCTCCCCCACTTCCCCCACTTCTGCCCCAGGACACCCCTCCGTGTATTAGGGCGAGGGCACAGCTAGAGTGGAGAAGCCAGTTTAGGGCGGGTAGTCCAAGAGCTCTAGGCTCGCCCACGCAGAGACAGGCATCCTCTGAGGGAGAAGACAGTGTCTGGCCCTGGTGCTCATGGGGTTCCACGATGCCCCCGACCCTCCGCTCTAGCTCACCTTAGTGAGCACGTACAGCAGAGTATGCAGCAAGGGAATGATGACATGCCGGAGGTCTTCGCTTTCTGCCTAGAAAACAGGAGACCACGGGGCATTTACTGGGCTGGGGCTCGAGGTGGGCTCACCACCTCCTAGCAGAACACAGGTTGGGTGGGGGTAGGTGTGGGCAGGAGATGGGGTAAAAGGCAAGCATCTCACCATGCCAAGGGGAGGGAAAAGGGCACAGCCTGCCCCAGCAAGGAAGGGGTGGGGTGGGGAGGGAGCATGGGGGTGGAGCGGGCTGGGAGAGCCTGGGGGTGTGGGGGGCATCCACTCGGGGCAGGAGCTGGTGCCGAGCAGTAGGCCAGCCCCCCGACATGGAGGTGCCCCGAGAGCAGCATCTCCCAAATGGATACAACACAGAGCATGGAGGAGGGGATCATTTTGGGGAGGTACAAGAACAACTTTTTTTTTAAAAAGATTTTATTTATTTATTTGATGGACAGAGATCACAAGTAGGCAGAGAGGCAGGCAGAGAGAGAGAGAGGGAAGCAGGCTCCCCAAGGAGCAGAGAGCCCAATGCAGGGCTTGATCCCAGGACCCTGAGATCATGACCTGAGCTGAAGGCAGAGGCTTTAACCCACTGAGCCACCCAGGCGCCCCTACAAGAACAATTTTGAAACATTTTTAATAGGTATGCATTTATGTTTATCCGCATTTTCTGTTCCCACAAGTGGGGGTTTTCCATGTGTAGCCATGGTACAGAGCTTCTTTCTGAAATACGCTAAGTCACATGAAACCGTGGGAGTCAGCGTAAAGAAAATATTCCTTCAAGAAGTAGAGGAGGGAGACAGAGCTGCTGAAAATCACGCAGGAGGTCCACAAAGGACCACAGTTGGGGGGAGGGTGGATGCAGCACTGATGGGACTGAGGCCCCAGCTGGCTTGGCCTCTCTCTTCCTCCTCCCCACCACCCACCTGCCTCCCTGAAACCCAAGAACCCACCTTTTCCAGCTCTCTGAGCAGAATACGGACCAGCACCGGACTCTTCCCAGGATCTCTCTCGACCTTCTTGTGCAGGGACCATCTCCACATGCCTGGCCAGGACAGAGAGGACCCCAGCACACGCAGGCGGGGCATAGGAGCTCTTAGAGGGGATCCCCCTGAGCAGGACCCTGAGCCCTTGGAGCCCCACACTGTGACTCTGACTGACTACAGATCTGACCCCTCAGCCGGGCGTCTGGCTCTGGCGACACGGTGGGGAGGGCTTGTCACACGTGGAGGATTTCTGTTCCACTGCCCGTCAAGGACAGTGCATTCTCGGGGTGGAAAGGCAGGGATGTGGGACATGAGTGGGCCAGAGTGTGCGTGTGGCCTACAGGCTGGCGATGTTTGGAGCTCAGCACCTGGGGCCACGTGTCTGGAGGTCGTGCAGGTCCAGAGAGTCAAGAGGAATTTTGCTCGCACGGGGAGCTGGGGAGGTGGCTGAGAAGGAGTGGGACAGAGGCTGCCTGCTGGCTCTTACCTTGGTTGCTCTGCAGGGCTGGGGCATGGGGGCTGAGTTCCCGGAGAACAGCTTGCACGCTCCGCTGGAGGTCCAGCTCCGCATCTGGGCAGCAGGGGTGGGTGGGGGAGCACTGGGCCAGGAGCTTTGGAGCTCAGCGACCCCGGCCTCACCCTCACCCCCATGTCTGCTCTCCCTGAGACCATCTTTCACCCCTTCTTTAAGCCCCAAGAGGTGCCCCAAAGTGATCAACTTAGAGCAGGCAGCCAGCACACAGCTCTCCAATAAGCCTTTCCATCAGCACCTCCCTGTTCTCTGTAAAACCCACGTTCCCCAAAGCACCGTGGGTATTCCACTGGTGGCTCACAGGGCTGTTTTAGGGGACACTCATGCAGTCCTAAAACCTGAATAATTAGGCACTTATCTTTATGTGTTCAAAAAAATATGTGTTCCTAAATTTCAAGTCAATTTCATGTCAGATCAAGGATGGGACAGGAAACGACAGACTGTCCCCTCATCAAACTGAACTCAGGCTTTGCTAAGCCAACTTCCCCTCCAGACCCCAGCCCTGGCCCCGGTTCTGTCCCTCACCCCATCCCGCTGGCCTGGCCCAGCTTGAGCAGAACACCGTTAGCCAAATCTAGACGCCCCACGTCTCCTCGGACTGATTTCCCACCTGCCCCACCCCCTTGCAATCCATGGGCTTGTAACTCCCCCGATGTCTTTGTGTCATTTGGGGTGGAGCCCCATCTCTGTCCCCTGGTGTGACTGTCTTGAATGAAGTCTCTTTTGCCACTGAAACCAGTGTCATGAGATTGTTCTTCAGCTGTGGTCCGTTGGCATGTCAAAGCGTGAGTGTGGTACAAGAATGAGCCACTGACATCCGGAAAGCATGGGAGTGGTGGGGAGGCCCCTGGCCCATCTCCCACTGCAAGAAGAGGTTAGCTGGTCAGGGTGGGAGGGGGCGCTCAGGGCTGGGCATCTGCAGCCCATCACCTGGTGCGGGGCCACACTCCCGGCCACTGTGACACTCCTCCTCCAAGACTTGCACCCTTGAGGCACCTGACTTGGGCTCAGGGCTCCCCAACCACACTGCTGAGCCTTTCTTGGTCACAACTGGGTCGAATGCATTTCCACGAGCACCTCAACTCTTTCTCCTTCCCTCGGAGCTGGACACCCATCAGCGCTCTCTCCGTAGCCTGCCCCTGGGCTGTGTCCCCACCTCAAGCCCTGCATGGCCACCCCATCATGAGGTCTGCTTCTCGGAGACTCCAGACTAAAAACAGGAAGCATGAGAGACACTTCCCACACCATAAATTCCTCTTTCTGACTGGCTCTCACCAAGCGTCTGTCTTCCTTCACGAGCCAAGTGTGCCTTTGGTTGTCAGAGAATACCAACCACATGCCTCAGGGGTTCCTCTTTTGTTGGGTTGTCAGGAAACTGACAAAGTGGGGGCCCAGCCTCAAAAACCAGCTTATCTCCAGGGACAGGGACGTCTCCTCTCTGCTCCTCTTTGGGGCTCTTGCTTTATGTTTTACGAAACCTGCATCATAATTGCCTCGCACTCCTTTGGAAGGATACAGGTAGAGATCACATGTTTTAAAGAATCAGCAGGTAGAACGTGTTCAGCCAAAGCACTGGTGCTCAGGGACCGAACCCCTCTGGGGTTCTGGCATGAGCTCGGCTAAGTTGGCCAGGGCTCCCCTGCTTCTCGAAAAACCCCCACCTTTCTCCTGCTGCTCACTTGGTCCCCTTGGACCTCATCAAAGTCTGTTTCTGAGTCTCCCCAAGGCTGAGAGTGGGCGGCTCTCACAGCTCAAGTTTCTCCCCCCGCCACTCTGCTGGGCTGTGCATCACCCCCCACCCTTCCCCACCCCCCGCCCCCCTGGCAAGGAAATCATGAAGCCTGGCACGAAGGCTGGTCACAAGCTGCCTTTCTAACTACCTGTGTCCACCTTACATGGAGATTTTTTTTAATTTTATTTACTTATTTTGACAGAGAGAGATCACAAGTAGGCAGAGAGGCAGGCAGAGAGAGTGGGGGGGGGGGCGGGATCAGGGTCCCTGCTAAGCAGAGAGCCTGATGTGGGCCTCGATCCCAGGACCCTGAGATCATGACCTGAGCCGAAGGCAGAGGCTTTAACCCACTGAGCCACCCAGGCGCCCCAACCTTACATGGAGATTTAATGAGTTAATGCAGGCAGAGTTTTTAAAACATTGTTATGTCTACTTTCTCCTTTCTTCCTTCCTTCCTTCTGTCTCCCTCCGTCCCCAGCCGCCTCTCCGTGGACAGCACAGACTTCAAACTATGATAGTCATCATCTCCTCCCTGCCCCTCCCTAGAAGGGCAGCCAAGCCTTTGTCTTCTGAGCCCTGGGTTCCTCTGCCTTGCACAAGGAGTCAAGCTTTTATGTTTCAGAGAAAAATAGAGAAGTTGCCAATAGCCCCAGGAGACAGCCCCACATAAAGTATGTTTTCGAAAGTCTGGGCGGCCGGAACAAGCGTTCAGGCTTTGGTCCGCATCTGGCTTGCAGACGTGTTTTGTTTGGGCTTGTAGAGTGTCTTGGGAAAAAAAAAAAATCAAATCAGCTGCTGACATGTACAAATCAGGAGATTTTGCATGAAAGTTTGGGTTTCTGGCATCCCTGGAAAGTCTGTTGACACCAGGCATGCATTCTTCGCACATGTGACAATCGACGGGGCACAGCTACCCCGGTTCTTCACAGCGGCCCCCTCTCCTTGTCTGGCTCATCGACACCCTGTGCCTGGCCCCTTGAGTTTGAGACCCCTGGCTCTAGGACTGAGACAACCGAGCTGGAAATGTCTCAAAGGAACCCGGAGGCTTCCTGCTGCTTGTAGCTATTGAGGACAGTGGCAATCCGAGGTGGGAGGCTGGATGCCCCAGGGCTGTAAGAGCACAGGGTTATGGGGACCCAAAGAATGAGAAAGATTGGGGCTGGCTGGGACATAGCCTCGGGGGCTGGCTGAGAGCTCAGACGAAGGCAGGTGAGCACTATACTTGGTGCTTGAGGGCCACGGCTGTGGTCTCCTGGGTCACCTTTGCCAGCGCATTAGAATGTCTCCAAAGGAACCCTCTCTCTCCCTATGGACCGTGCACACCTGGCCAACCTGTTCAGGGACGGGGGTGTGGCAGCTACAGTGGATTGAAGACACAGCCTCTTCCCATCATGAAGACTTTGTAACCTCTGGGCTTATGAGATCACAAACAGGGGGCAGGCAGCCCAGGCAAATGACTCTGGAATTTGTACTGACCTTGGAAAATGAGAGCTTGAAGCTGGATTTGATCTGATTAAGCAAACGAAAGAAAGAGGATATTTCTTGTGCCTCAAGCGTCTCAGGGTTATTCGTATATGACATGCATGTCTAACATTACTCTTGACTCAGAACAGCCAATAAATAAAGGCCATTCATAATTATTACCTTCCCCTCCATCCAGGAATGTGAGATATTACTATTAGGCATCATGTTACTATTAATATCTCACATTTAAATAGCACATAAAAGGCATACACACAGAGAGTCTTACGGAGGTGTGGTAAGACAATGTGAGGTGTTCATCAAACCGAGTTCATGTTTGTCCTGGGTCCCCGGGAAGACTACATTTCCCAGAATCCCCTGCAGCTAGATGGACGTCACGCATTGAGCCTGTCTAGTGGAATGCGGTGGACACAACGTATGACATAAAATCCTCTGCACTGGGGCACATGGGTGGCTCCATGGGTTAAGGATCTGCCTCCGGCTCGGGTCATGACCCCAGGGTCTAGGGATCAAGCCCCACCTCGGGCTTCCCGCTCAGCGGGGAGTCTGCTTCTCCCTCTCCGTCTGCAGCTCCCTTGCTTGTGCTCGCTCTCTCACTCTCTCAAATAAATACATAAAACCTTTAAAAAAATCCTCTGTATTATCCGCCACCTCTCTCTTCCTGTTCTTTGGTGACCTTGGAAGACGTGTTGGAGGAGATGGTGCCATGAGAGGGCACATCCCTGAAGGACTGGAGCCCAGCCTGGATGGTGATGTGAGACGTAAGCGTCGGTTGTGCTAACCCACCGACATCGGGGTCACGGGTGTACCAGCTAGCCTTTCTGACAGACCCTCGGACGCGCAGATAATTTTCTGGAATCTCATCTCACTGGCTTCTGAGCAGAGCCCTGGGAGCTCAGCAGGGCAATACAGTTCTTCCTGTTCTGCTTTGTAGATTCCAAGTCAAGAGCTCTTAGTCTTGTGCCGTATTACCTCTCCGAACACAGAGGTCAGACCCAGAAGGACCTTGGAGGCTCTCGTCCCATTTGACAGCTGGACAAATGAGGCTGGCATTTGTGTGAGGGCACAGAGCTGTTGGAAGAGAGCTGTCCCTTTGGCGGACGCTCTTCCTCTAAAGCTCCACTCTTATTATGTCCCCTTATAGTCACCTGCTTAGCCGGAAAAGGGAGAACAACATATGTCTATCTATGCGTATCTGGGCTTCGAATACCAAAAGCCAATGCCCCAGATAAAGGTGCCTGGACAGAGTCGCAACTCTCAAGGTAGTTCAAGGTCCAGTCTTCGATTTCAGGCCATTCGAAGCTATAGCAGCACAAGGCCATTCCAGCTCTGTGTTGCCCTGTGGTCCCAGACAGTCCTTGTAGGATGTTTGCCTTTTCTCTCCTTCCCAATCTTGGTTGCACAGGAGAATCACCAGAGAGCTTTAAAAAAACACTAACATACAGCCCCCCAGCAAACTAGCTTAAATCAGATCTCTGAGAGTAGGGACTAATAATTTCTTTTTTAATAGCTCCCCAGGACACTCTAATGGATAGTTAGGGTAGCAATTACTGTCTTAGCTCTTAAGCTGAGAGCTCTGGACAATTGAGCTGTTAGTCAAGGAAGGAGTCAGGTGCCGAGATGCTCACAGAGGCTGATTATCCCTGCATAAAGGATGAAGGTCACAGGGTCAGAATGGCTCCTTCCTGGCTTCATGGTGACAGAAGGAGATTCAAAAAACATAATGGGAGGAAGTTTCATTTTTATTATTGCTGTATTTCACTTGTTTTGCAAGACGTATGCATTTCTTCAGAAACGTGACCCTGGGAACTAGGCAGCAGACAACATGGCTCTAACTCTCTTGGGGTCCAGCCATGACATGAATAAAATCTTCTAAGATTTTTCTAAGCAGACCTGTCTTTGTTGTCTTGAAGTCACCCCATACCTATTTGTCACGGTTTTTTATGGGTCACCTCGACTGGGCCACAGGACCCCCAGATATTTGTTCGAACATTCTTCTGGGTATCTCTGGGAGGGTGTTTTTGAATGAGGCTTTTAAACCACTAGACTGAGTTGACAGACTGTTCTCCCTAACGTGGGTGGGCCTCATCTAATCAGTAGAAGGCCTGCACAGAACAAAAGGCTGACACCCGCCCCACCTCCAAGTAATAGGGAATTCTTCCTGCTTGACTGCCTTCCAGCTAGGACACTGGTTTTTTCCTTGCCTTTGGACTGGAACTATACCATAGGCTCTCCTGGATCCTAGCTTGCCAACTGCAGGCTTTGGGACTTGTCAGCCTTCATAATAATGTGAGCAAATTCCTTAAGACAAATCATTCTGCACATGGTTGTACAGTAGGACACCCTTCCTAACACACCCGCAGAGGCCCAAGGCATCGGGATGGAGAGGGCTGGTGGAACAAACTAAGTATTTCCTCAGCCTTCTTTAGCCAAGGAGTGGAATTGGGGCAGGCGGTAGATGTGTCCATCCAGATGCAAGGGTTATAGGGACACTCGGGTCACTTGGTACCCAGAAAATTACTACCAAAGAGGTTGAATTTGTACTTTCCAAGGGATGTTCCCCTCAAACTGGAGTACTGGAAAGTATTGTCCTTTTCTGCTTTCCGGATAGCAGCTGTCAGAATCAGCTCCCCCTCCCTGGGATGGAAATGGCAAATACCAACAAACACTTTCTGGACCATTCTCTTCTAAAATCGCTATAAAATCACTAACCCCAGGGCCCGTTTCCTCATGTCAGGTGAGCCATAAAACAACTGAGAGGAACACGATTGGTTTGTGTGTGTGTTCTGACTCAGACTTGGGACTCCCGAGCTCTGTACAGATGGATGTCACTGGGTACATTGGTTTCCCTGGTTTTCAGAGGGTGAAATTTCTCTGACCTTGACATATTGACCATCTGGACCTCACGGAATGCCCTTCCAACCAGGGCCGAGGACTCATCTGGGAATCCCCTGGTCTCAGCCTCTCAGCTGGTCACTGAAATCTGGGCTCAGCACCCAGACACACCATCAGCCAGAGTAATGGGGCTCACAGTTTTCTTCCATCCCACACCTGATCCTCCTTGCCCCCATGTGGAACAAAGGCTCAGATTTGCAGGGATGGCAAAATAACCACAGCTTTGGTGCCTGTGCCACACTGCTCTTTTGTATCCCTTAAAATAAATAATTTTTCAGGTGCCCCTCTTCTTGACTCTAGAATGACAGAACACTTTAGGGCTCTAGGACGGTGGGGAAGGTTATAAACATTTGTAATTTGGGAACACAGCCCATACAACTGCAGTTCTGATCATGAACGCCCCCTCCCCCTCAGAGCTCCCAGGGCAAGCATCGGAATTTTGGGATGTTTCCTTCTGCCCATCTGATGTGGGAGGGGGTCACCTGTCATATCCTTGGTGGTGGGTATCTGTGGTTTCCCCTGCCCAGCAATCCTCCCTGCTCACTGTGATCTTGGTGAGGCTGTGGCCTTTGGCCTTGCTCTGCCAAATTACCAAATTACCTTTTTTTTTTTCTTTTTTTTTTTTTTCTGACCCCACCCCATAGTTTTGCTGGAGAGGAAAAGGACCCATTTTCTAAATCTGGAGGACTGTGCGGGTCTAGAGTATCGGTGGGGTTGGGAATAGGGCTGAGGTTCCCAGGGTCCTGACTCAAATACCCAATGCCAGTGGTTTCAGTGAAAGAAAAATCCAGACACGTAATCAGCAGCACCATTTCCTCGTGTGGATGCCCCACTCGGGAGAATTCCCACTGTTAGGGAACCTGGACTGGATCCTGAAGGAAGAACCAAGGGGCATTTGGAGAGTTTGGAGGATTGGAGGTTTATTTAACACTGGTGGACTCCTCAGGACAGTGTTCTCCAAAGGTCTGAGCCCAGAGCCCAAGCTGGGAGGGTAATTTATACCTTTCTACTTCCGCATACTTGGGCACAGGACTGAGCTGGCCAACGGACTCTCTCTCCCTCTAGGCGAACCTTGTGCCGATGATGGCCAGCAGGGAAGAAGGCGCAGAGCGTTCTCTGAGGTCACTGTCTACCTCCTCCCGTCCTAGGGGTGGGTCCGCTCTGCTCCCCGCCCTTGCTGGTGCCTGGGGCTTCAGCTGGTCCTTCAATGCTAGGCCATTCTTTATTTTTGGTAGTTAAACTAGCCCTATGGGTTTCTACTGCTTGTGTCCAAAGAAAATTTATTGGAGCACCTTTCTTCCTAAAACACAGCATGGCGTGCGTCTACTGTTATAATTAAAGTCAGGACAAAGTAAGTTGGTTTTGAAATATTTAGATTTTTACGGGGCTGGCTCTACCACTATCCTCCCAGGGCAAACCCCAGCTGGTTAAGGACAGCCCAGAATATCTCAGTGCCAGGATTCATGGACTTGTCTGATTCAGATGGAACGTCTGGCTGTGTGAGGCTCTATGCAGTGGGGTGTGTGTGTGTGTGTGTGTGTGTGTGTGTGTGTGTGTGTGTGTAAAGGACACATGTCTGAGGGATGGTAACAACCCAGTAGCTGCACCTGCCTTGGGCATGCCCTCCCCTTCCCTGGATGGGGGTCTTTAAGGGCATCAGAGTCTACGTCTCACGAGGAGTGCTGTGGGACTTCCCGGGTGACCGTTGGTGATACACATCTCGAGGGAAGGGTCATCTCTCCTTGTGTCCCAGATTGATAAGGCATGAAGAGACTAGGGTTGGGAATGAGCCAGACCTTGGTTCTGATCATGGTTCTGCCACTTACCAGCTGTGTAGCTTTGCACAAATTACCTAACTTGAGCCTCCGTTTCCCCTTCATTGAAACGAGGAAGATTACATTGATACTGTACCTCATGGATCCTTCTGATGAACGCACAGGACACCCCCAGTGAAATAACTTAGGGCACAGAGCCGGACCCAGATTGCTGGGGTCAAACCCTGGTTTGACTATACGGTATCTGTGGGTGGCCTTGGGAGCAGTACCTCTCCCCTCTGGGTCTCACTTTCTCCTTCTGCGAAATGGGGGATAACATCTATCTCATGGGGTCTTTACAAAGACTCTGGGTCTCACTTTCTCCTTCTGCGAAATGGGGGATAACATCTATCTCATGGGGTCTTTACAAAGACTCAAGTGAGATACTATTTGTCAAGTGTCTTTATCACTACTTGGCAGATTATAAGCACTACAGAGGTTTTTGTTAAGTAAATACAAACATTTGGTGATAGATCTTGACCCTCATTGTCATTATCCCCGTGTCCAGCGCAGTGACCTGTAAGCAGCTGGGTCTCATACAGGTGTGTGGCCGTCCACTCCTCAAGATGTTCTCACATTTGGGCAGCTGAGCTGGGGGTCTGGGTGAAGGTGAAGGTGGTCTTGCCAGCCCTGGGGGCCTTCTCGCCCGCAAGGGAGGCCTTCCCCACGACGAAACCAGGCTTGTGAGACCCCGCTGCCCCCAGTCATACTGACCTGAGCTCTCCATGGGAGGCTGGGGTGTGAGTGAGGAGGATGTGGTCGTCTCAGGCAGCAGAATGGAAAATAAAGTGGTTGTTTTTCCGCAGAGAGGTGGTTCTGCAAGATAAGAAGCAGTTAGCTAAGTGGTGGGAAGGTACAGAAAGTGTATTTGGGGGAGCGGAGAGGCTCCTAGGGGACCTAGGCTCCTAATGCGTTGGAGGAATTCTTCTATGGTGCTGGCTGTGTGCTGGGTACTCTTCTAAACACGTTAAAACAATCAAATTTTTAACATTCATATTAACTGTATAAGGTAGGTACTATCTTCTACAGATGGGGAAATTGAAGCACAGAGAGGTTAAATAATGATTCAAGGTCAAAGAGATGGCAAGTAAAGGAATGAGCACCGAACTCAGACTATCCGGCTCTCGAATGTCATGACCCCTGGCTGCCCCACCGTGACCCCAGTCAGGGGAACCCCCCCAAAGCCTGCTTCCCAGAGCAACAAACTCCAAAACTGAAAAGCAGAGGAACTCTGACCAAATCCAAGAATAAGTGAATAAAGATACCTGAGAAAGCTAATTCGGAGAGAGAGAGAGAGAGAGAGAGAGAGAGAAATAAGAAAATATCAGGAATGGTAAGTGTCATATATACTCAATGGAATAAAATATAATGTACGCTAAGTTACTGTAACCTATTGATAATCATATAAACAAATCATATAATTGAGCATTAAAATGTGATATGCTATCGACAATGATTAGAAAAGATAACACAGTGCATGCCACATATGTACATATATGATATGTAATATGTTTATTTGTAGCAAAAAAAAAAAATGAACCCTATATCTCACACATGGTTTTCTAGGGAAATAAAAATGACACAAAAGCCTCCATTGAATTAGGAAAACTGCTTTTCTTAGTGATCAATGAAGAAACAAAGAGAGCCATCAAAGAATTAGCTCTTAAAAAGTAATATATGTCAGGGTGCCTGGGAGGCTCAGTTGGTTAAGTGTCCCACTCCCGGTTTCAGCTCAGGTCATGATCTCAGGGTCAGGACATGGAGTCCCGCATCAGGCTCTGTGCTCGGTGTGGAGCCTGCTTGAGATTCTCTCTCTCCTTCTGCCTCTTCCCCACTGGTACACATGCTCTAAAATAAATAAATAAATCTCTTTTAAAAAAAAAACAAACAGTTGATATATGTCTCAGATGGTTCCTCTGATAAGTTCTCTCAAACCAGCAATGAAAAATGTTAAGCTATTTCAACTGTTCAAAAGCATAAAGAAGGAGAGATTCTCTGAAAAAGCCAACTTAGCCTTGATAGCAAAATCTAATAAAGATAGTTTAAAAATATAGATGAATCACTCCCCACCCACTGGGACAGCTGCTTAAAAAAGAAAGCGACAGCAAGGGTTGGCAAGGATATGGAAACATTAGACCTGGTGTGTTGCTGGTTGGAATTCAAGATGGTGCAGCTGTGGTGGAAAAAGAGTATAGTGATTCCTCATAAAGTTAAACACAGATTTACCACAGGACCCAGAAATTCCCCTCCTAGGTAAATACCCAAAAGAACTGAAAATAGGGACTCTAGCAGATACTTGCATATCAGCATTCATGGCAGCATTATTCAAAATGCCCCAAATTGGAAATACTTCAAACGTCTATCAACAGGTGAATGGGTAAACAAAATGTGGTATATCCATATGATGGAAAATTATTCAACCTTAAAGTGGAATGAACTTTGGACACATGCTACATCATAGATGAGCTTTGAAATCATCATGCAAGTGAAATACATCAGGCCAAAAGGACAAATATTTGATTCTATTTACATGAGGCACTAACAATAGGCAGATTCACAGAGAGAGAAAAGTGTAACAGAGTTACCAGGGCTTGTGGGGAAGGAGGAGAGGAGAATTATTATTCAGTGGGTACAGAGATGATGAAAAATTTCTGGAAATGGACTGTGGGGATTGTACAATATTGTGAATGCACTTAATGACACCAAATCCATACACTTTAAAATGGTTAAAATGGAAAATTTTATGATATGTATATTTTACCACAATAAAAATTAATATTAAAAGTATAAAATATGGGGCGCCTGGGTGGCTCAGTGGGTTAAGCCGCTGCCTTCGGCTCAGGTCATGATCTCAGGGTCCTGGGATCGAGCCCCGCATCGGGCTCTCTGCTCGGCAGGGAGCCCGCTTCCTCCTCTCTCTCTGCCTGCCTCTCTGCCTGCTTGTGATCTCTCTCTCTGTCAAATAAATAAATAAAATCTTAAAAAAAAAGTATAAAATATCACTGATCGAACTGAATGCATTAAAATTATAATGTATTCTGAATAATTCTAGATGATTGCTAATCATTGGAAGGAATGTTAAAATGTGATATACCATTGGCAATTATTAGAAAAGATAGAAACAACTGTTGCTGAAGATATGGGAAAATTTTCTCCGTACTCAGTTGCTGAGAGCAGAAATTGGTATAGCTTTCCTGGAGGGTAGTTGGGCAATAAACATCAAAATTCAAAATGTGTATCCTTTTTGTCCAAGCAACTCCACTCTTAGGAATTTATCCTAAGGAAATAATTGGATAAGTGCATAAGGAGAGTATACAACAATATCCGTCAAAACATTGTTAATAAAGGGAGAGGGGTGCCTGGGTGGCTCAGTGGGTTAGGCCGCTGCCTTCGGCTCAGGTCATGATCTCAGGGTCCTGGGATCGAGTCCCGCATCGGGCTCTCTGCTCAGCAGGGAGCCTGCTTCCCTCTCTCTCTCTCTCTGCCTGCCTCTCTGTCTACTTGTGATCTCTCTCTGTCAAATAAATAAATAAAATCTTTTAAAAAAATAAAGGGAGAAAAACAGAAGAAACTTAAAGGCCCAATGGCAGAGTGTCAATTAAGCAAATTAAAGTTACTCATGCAATGGAATACTAAGCAGACATGAAAATGATGACGTATATTTACATTTACTGAATTAAAAAGATTTTCAGAAGTATTCATCTCAAACACTAGGTAACAAAACAGTTAACACATTTCTAACACATTAATTTTTTAAAAATGTATTTCTAAATTTCCTCAGATGTATTGTAAAAAGTCAGTAAAAACTAAATATCAGGGCTCCTGGGTGGCTCAGTTGGTTAAACAACTGCCTTCAGCTCAGGTCACGATTCTGGAGCCCTGGGATCGAGTCCCGCACTGGGCTCCCAGCTCTGCAGGGAGTCTGCTTCTCCCTCGACCTTCTACCTTCTCATTCTCTCTCTCTCAATCTCTCTCTCCCAAATAAACAAAATCTTAAAAAACAAAACAAAACAAAAAACACTAAACATCAAAATGTGATATTGAAGGTCCTGGTTCTAGTTAACGTGGAGTAAGTACACTCTGTTGTAACTCTCCCACTCAAAAAAAACTAAAAATTCTGGATGGTATGCATGGCATGGCTATCTGAGGATGCTGAGAAGTAAGTGGTATCAGGCAGAATGGGGAAGAAAACCAGTTCATGAACAATCTGGCAATGAGTTTTCTTCACTTCCCCCCTCCCCATTATCCCTTGGTCTGGACCACAAAGATAGCCTGAAACTCACAAGTCCACACTTAGGGCAGACAGAAAGAGCTAGAAGAAAAGCCTCTCTTTCTGGTCTGAGGAACAAAAAAAGGGTCCCCAAAGGATTGAAGAGATGGGGTATTTACTTTTTCTTTTGCAATTCCTCCTTCCATATCCCCCAGGCAATCTTTTTTTTTTTTTTTTAAAGATTTTATTTATTTATTTGACAGGGACAGATCACAAGTAGGCAGAGAGGCAGGCAGAGAGAGAGAGGGAAGCAGGCTCCCCGCTGAGCAGAGAGCCCGATGCGGGACTCGATCACAGGACCCTGAGATCATGACCTGAGCCGAAGGCAGAGGCTTTGCGGGACTCGATCACAGGACCCTGAGATCATGACCTGAGCCGAAGGCAGAGGCTTAACCCACTGAGCCACCCAGGCACACCCCCCCCAGGCAATCTTTTAATAGCAATAGCAGCAACAGTGGTTGGCCATGGTGGCCAAACAGGTGCCTAAAATTCTGAAAAAGGGAAATTCTTCCCTCTGACTAGAGGAATTACAGTTCCAAGGACATGGGAAGAATCCTTAATGCTTTCTTCCCTCTATCAGAGCAACAAAACTAAGAAATAACAAACAGAAGATGAATAATAAAAGTGGTAGACCTGAATAAAAATATATTAATAGTTATATTAAATGTAAACTGTCTAAACACACCAATTAAAAGACATAGACAGTCAGCACTAAAAAAAAATCAGAACCAACTCTATGCTGTTTACAATAAATTTACTTTAAATATAATATCATAGGTAAGCAAAAGAACAAAAAATATATATACTACTTGAATATTAATCAAAAGAATGCTGAAGTAGGTGTATTATTACGAGACAAAGTAATTTCAGAGCAAGGAAAATTGTCAGAATAAGCTTCTTATTACATTTCATAATAATAAAAGAGTCAGTTTATGAAGAAGCTATAACAATTCTAAACCTGTATGCACTTAAAAACAGGGCTTCAAAATACACAAAGGCAAACTAATGAAACTAAATTACAAGTAGGCAAATCCACAATTATAGCTGGAAATTTTAACAGTACTCTCTCAGTGACTGATAGAACCAGAAGATAGAAAATCAAGAAGGACATGGAAAAACTGAATACTATCAACTAACTGAATATACAGAAAAATTGAATATTATCAGCCAACTGAATTTAACTGGCATTCATAGAACACTACATACAACAACAGCAGAATATGAATTCTTTTCAAGTGTACACGAAACACTCACCAAGATAGACAATACCCTTGGTTACAAAACAAACCTTAATAATTTTAAAATAACTGAATTATACAAAGTAGGTTTGCTGATCATAATGAAATTCAACTTGAAATTAGTAATATAAAAATAATTAGAATATCTCCAAATACCGGAATATTAAACAACACATTTCTAAGTAATTCATATGCCCCCAAAATAAAATAAGTGGGTTAACACTTCCCAACTCATTTTAGGAGTCTAGCACTCTCCTGATATCAAAACCAGACAAAAATAGTACAAGAAAAGAAAATAGACCTATATC